TACAATAAAGTTTTCATCAATACATACCCCATGAGCAAGAGGTTCTATGTATAACTCCTCTCCTATTTTTGACAATGAATGAATTGCTCTTCCAAAAACTATATAAAAAAAGATAGGAGTGGATAAAGTAATAAAACGAATAGGCAAAACCCTTGCTTTTTAAAACATTGCCTTTTAAAATATTTAGGACCTTTTATTAATGAATGCACCATTTAAGAAGATTATGGTCAAAATATTTGTAACAAAATGTTTATATAATGAATCCTTGGTATACATTCCGCCTTTTTGTAATCGAATTACTGTTAAATACATGGTTATATAGCGAATTATCTAGTATAAGAAAGGCCACTTGGCCATGGTCATGTTTACTGTTTGCTGACCCAGTCGAGGTCTTGATGAGTTTTAACAAGTACTGTAAATGATTGTAAATGATACCTTTGATGTTTACTCCAGGAATAATACACTTCATTTTGATTTACAGGAACACTTTCAATACTTTTTGCCTTTCCCTCCCAAAAGTCTCTATCGTCTGTATTAGCATCGGGATCGAGATGCTGTATTTGGCAGGTATCAAGATAACTCGTTCATCAGAGAAGTCGAACTCTAAAAAAAATAACTCCCTAACCCAGCGGTATTATTAAAACAGTATGAAATCGATTTATAATTTCAAACTAGTTAAATTTCAATAAATCTAGACATCAGCAGTAGAGGAGATAATCAAGTGTATACTGTAAACAAAATTACAATATATTGGAGACAAGGTGTAATACCGTACTTTAAAATATTCCTATATTGGCTATAAAGAACTCTTAAGAAAATTTGAAATCATAAAATTTTACCAAAATCAATTATATCTGATACATACAACCTCAACAATTTATACATTACCCATGATAAATTAAAGTTGAGGCTTTTTGACATCATTGACAGCACCCCCCCCCCCCCCCCAATAAAAATGGAACTTGTAAACTTACTTACCTTGTCACTGGTCATTTATGAAAATATTTTGTTTAAAAACACTCTGCTTGTACTTAGTAATTGATATTAATGAGATGCTCTAATTTCTGATCGTTAATGTCTTTGTAGTTTTTGGAGAGCAAGTCTTCCAGTAATTATTCTATCGGAATGTTTGTGTGTACCAACCATGCCCCATTCATAGCAGACTTATTTTCATATTCATATGACTCAAAAGCATAAGTCATTCAAAAACTTCTTCACAAAAAGAAGAAGTCTATTGCTATGGCCTTTAATCATTAGCTCAATATTTAGATACAAGAGTATAGACAATGTTGTATTTACAGTGTATAAACAATATTCATTTTCATTCCTACCATGTTTTGAAAAATCCCTTTGAATTCAAGATCAATCACAGAATCTGACACATCCCTTTCATATTTTGAGAGAACTCTTATAATAGGTCATTTTTGATTTATAAATGTCAAGTGAGGTTAAGAAAAACTTTACCTTTAAAAGCAACAAAAATCAAATCTTTCTTCACCATACTATAGATAAATATAAAAAAAAGTTGATAAAGAATTCCTGGATTTATTTGTAACTTTCCAACCATACATAGAGACAAATACACAGTTGTTATTTCCTCTTAAGACAGTAAGTTTTGACTAGTTCTTTTAGGTAAGCAGAATAAAACAATTAACCATTCTTTCTCCCAAATAAAATTACATAATACCATACCAAACTTTACAAATTACCTTTAAATTAAAATAAGTGCCAGTAAAATTACACTGACATGGCACAGCAATGACTTTGAAAATATTTTATAGCAAATTAATACATCTATACTTAAAGTTTGAATAGAAAGGCATCAACTGGGCTCAATCGTACCTGCAATGTCAATTTGTGATGCCAATAGATATTTCTTTATTGAAATCAGGTGGAAGAGTAAAATTTGATTATTTCTTGAATCTGAAGAATGTGTGCAGTTTCTTATTGATAAGAATATCACAAATATCAAAGTAAAACATTTGAAATGGTTATAATTATCATCATTATATACATATATTAATTGTATAGCGCTGTTTTTAATATAAAATTTCTCAAAAGCGCTTATATGATAAAATACAAACTGAAAACAAATCAAAAAACATATGACACAATAAAACACACACATATAGTTCTACTTAAACATTTACATTCTCTTACAAATAAATTAAAAGTTTATGTGTAAGATTAAGATCAATCTAATGATTTAATCACTTCAGAATTAAAAAAAAAAAGTGAAATGCAATGGCACATGTATGGTTGTTAACCTGACAAACACATAGACTTTTATATAACAACTTAAAGTATATACAAATGTAGTCACTCCGTAAACTCTCATACTTTATGTACAATATGTACAGGAATGTATTAGTTCTACCAGATTGATTATACACAAAAAATACATAATACATACAATATACTTTCTTTACAATACATATGCACATACTTTAAGAGAGAGGCCCATTTTGAGTTGCATTCCTTTTCTAATGCAAAGAAATTTATTTCCAGTATATTGTATGGAAAAATTAGGCAGTATGAGAATATATAAAATTTCACTATCCTAGAATTTTATTACATTCTTGGAATATTTTTATATTTTTTTTTTCAATTTGAAAAAACTCATAAAATTACTATTTCAAATATCTATTTCTTCAAAGTATTTTTGGTATGAATAATCCTAATACTATATATGCATTGTTCTCATGAAATTGTACCAGAACTGACTACGTCTCTACTGAATTCAAAAAGTTGTAAACATCAAAACACAACTGAGGCAAAACCATCCCACCTCACCATTACTGGCCTTAACAGAACATATATTTTAAAATTTTAATATATTCAATTTAAATTTTAAATGAGACATAATGCAGAAGATCAAGTCCTATGATTTTTTTTTTTTTTGGTGTGTAGAATATTTTGGGAAGAGTTTTGGTACAAATCATCTCTTTGCATTGCATTTATCTTATTTATTACCAAAAAAATTAAACAATGAACTCAGAAAAGACAGCTTGCTTTAAACAAAGATTAATTTGTAACATAAAAGCAAATAAACATAGTGCAAATGAAGCTTAAACCAATCATTAAATGGAACATTCGGCAAACTCAGCTGATTTCATCACCTTCTTTCTGAGGTATGAATCTGCCAAAGTGTGCCGAGTGTAGATGGAATAGTTTTATTCTTTAACAAAACTTTTCTATCTTTAACAGTTCTTTTTTGATTTATTCCTATTTTATGGACTAGAGGAAAACATTAAGTTCATCTTATCATAATAATGCCAAGATGGCAAAATCAATGCCTTTCCAAAGAAATTAAAAATATTTTGCTGTTTTTTTTTTCAAATCTATTTAGCACCCCAGACACTTACAAAATTACAAAGGGGAAACTTATTATATCTGTCTCCTTTGAATAAACTGGGATAATTCTATAATCCCTCTGTCAAGAGTTTCAATTCTTATTTTAAATTCTCATTTCACTTACCCCATTAAAGCTTTATATAATACTTTTCCATAACATCATACTTCTGAACAAAAAAAAAAACCACATGCATGCAAGTACAAAATTAAAAATGCTATGTCACAAAGAGCATAAAAAAATCATTTGTCTTACACAAGAAGACACAATCCTACGCGACAGAAATATCTAAATACATTTGTACATTTTTTTAACAAAAGTAAACAAAAATCATAGCATCCTGCCTGCACTGTTGTCCTGGTTATGAGTTATCTCCCTTCACAAAACAGCAACAACAAATTCTGATTCTATACTGGGCTTTAAAACATTGTGTAATGATTTGAGGCAACAAAAAAATGATAATGTTTAAAATAATAAAACAATAATTCACATCTTCCTTTCACTGATTTCAATCAAACATGAAAATCACAAGTAATGCCACAATGAAGTTCCATTTTAATACAAACATATATCAATTTGAACGTACATGAGTTTGTGTTTATGATATGGTTTATTAATCAACATACATATATTACAAATGACTAAATTCCTCCAAATATACAAGGTTTCACAAAAAGTACATCTTTAAATTTAAATGCATTTGTGATACAAATGTAAGTATTATAGCTGTAATTTATTAACCACCAATGATACAATGTCCACTAAAGATACAAAATACAGTACATCATTGATATTAAATTTCAAATAAGTATATTTTTTTTTTATCAATCAATGATAAAAATGAAACAAATTTAAAAGAATCAATCAAAATCAATGAAAATTTGCAATTGATTAAAACATAAAACATCAAAATGTATCCTTTTCAAACGTACATGTAATAGCTAGAGTAGCAATTTCCATATTCTGTTATCTTCCGACTAGTAGCTTCTCACTGATCACCCTAGAATTTATCCTTATCAAATGCAAAGTCATCCATTATAATGGTGCATTTTATCATTAGTGAATGTTTGTATCATTGGTGAAGACCACAATACTTGATCAAAATAACATCATTACATTTTATTCCACACTCAATTTTCTACTATCGTTCTGTGAAATATTTGTTCCTTCAATTATCATATACATATGTATATAGAGTTTTACAAGTGATGTCTATACTTAAATCTTTCAAGCCCAGATAAAACTGGGCTATATTAGTTTAAAATGTTTTGAATACATGCTGGTGAATTCCCTCAAGTTTTTTGAAACATCCCTCTGCTTTGAATATGCACTTTCTTTTCTCGTTAACATTCACACTTAGAAGTATGTCAAGTTTATACAATTACAGCATATCATCATTTCACAAATGAATGAAGTAAACATGTAGCTGTGTATATTACAGTCATGATATCAGAATCGAGCTCTCTGTCCTCTTTAGCAGTGAAATGTGGATTGAAAGATACCATGATAAAATGGTAGATAAGGTGGGGAGAATGACTTCAACATGGAAACTATAATGAAATGCTTCCAACAGGAGGATTGGGGAAATTCAAAAATTAAGACAGTATGAGAAAACATGTCACATCTTAGTTTATAAAATTTCTCTTAGATGAATTTTCTCTAAAAATAAAAATGTTTTTCATTAAAAAAAATTGTTCCAATATGTTCAGTAGAATTTTTTCATTCTATTTTCAGTAACAGTGACAACAACATTCAATTTAACTAAAGTTTATGCATGGAATTAAGTATCTATAACAAGGAATCTAGTTTTGTGACAGGTTTCTGTCAATTCATGCAACAATTGTACAAGGAGTGGAATTTTCTAAAATGGACTACAGACATACAGACAAACAGAAGAAAAAAAAACCCATTTCACTAATGCATAAGCTCCTCTGGACCATCAGAGCTAAAAATCACAGTCTCACATTCAGTGAAGGATTATTTCATATTTCCACATTCTGATCATTAGAACAGGATGACACGCGAGCCAGTAACACTGTGATGTCATCTGGTTTCCCTCCTGCAAAAGTAACAATTAACGGTAAAACAATGCTCTGTATTTCCTAGCATATTCAAATTAAATTAATGATATTGCAATATTTATGATCTAAAAAAAAACAAGCATAGCATTATGAATATTTAAACCAATCAATATTTTTTAAGAATACATTTCAGCAAATTAGGAAAACATTTCATAGGACAAAAACCAATAACTTGACTCCAGAGTTACAAAACAAAGAAGGTGTCATAACACAGATCCAACATTCAATAGAAATGATGCAATAAGATCTCTGTGATGTAACCTACCCTTGAGATCTATTCCTCTTTGTTGTGCTGATAAAGCAAAAGGTGACAAGTAATCTTGATCAAATGAGAGCTGATAGGCTTCCTCTGCTATATGGTGTGCCGTCCGCTGAACGTTGACTTCAGAGTCTCTCTGATCCTATAATGAAATCAAATACGATAAAACAGCACTCCAGATCAATTATTAACTGTTAATGTTACAAAAAGTTCCATGCATGGAAAATTACTTTTTTTATCCAGTTATCTGTGGAAGGAACACAACAATAGTTTTCTGGTTCAACAGTGAATCATACCTTCATTTTACTTAAGCAGTCTAAAATCATGTCTTCATTCATATTGTCAAATAAACCATCTGTTCCTAGTAGTATAATGTCCCCTTCTTCTACATCAAATGATGAGCTTTCTGCCATGTCAGGGCTGGAAAAAATAAAAATAAAAATAAAAACACACTGTAAAATTAGATGAAATTTTTCATCAGGGTACTGTAAAATACAGCATCCCCTCACAAAAGAGTACACTGACCCCAATATAATATGCACTCACTCACTCACAAATACATGTATAAGTATACAAGCCTGTTACTAAATCCCCTCCAACTTCATTGCACAGGGATAATATTAAAGGCAAATAAAGGATTCAAAGGGAAATGGGTTGAAAATATTTATATAATTTTTAACTTATTTTGGTATGAAAAACAAAAACACCAGTAGTTGGACCTAAAAAAAATTTTTTGGTCTCTTTTTAGCAAAGTCATGATTCTGATCAGAATTACAAATTAAACTATCACATCTCATGCAAAAAGAAACTGTGTACTAGATTAAAACTGCATTTTAGTGACAGACAACTCCTCTATTTTGTCTAGCTGTGTAAGCTTTCACACACCCACCTGTCACTCAAGACAAGCCCCGCCTGGCTGGGTGGGGCTACCGCTAGCTGGAAGGGAGTATTGAAGTAATGCTGCTGCTCCTGGGAGCGATGAACAACCTTGTCATCTCTGATGAGGAGGAAACCACTATCTCCTAAATTAGCTGTGTATATCCGTCTTTCTTTTTTATGCAGTGCCACAATACAAGCTGTACTGCTACCTATATTAAGGAGAAAAAGATTCAAACTTTGTAAGTTTGTATTCTAATTTTGAACAAAGAAACAGACATACAGCATTCTTTGAAAGTTCAAAGTCCTGCAAAAATGGCATTATTTTTTGAAAACTTAATTTTCTTACAAACTACAATACCTATAAGTGGAGTTTTCATTTCCTGGAGTTCATAGTAACTTGCAGCAATGACAGTGGCTGGGGCCTGAGCATTAAATCTGCCTTCTCTCACCATTCTTTCACAGGTTTCCATTAAAGATCTTGGGAATGCAGAGGGATCTATCCCATAATTCCTCCATCCTCCCACACCATCAGCTACTCCTAAAAACAAAATACAATTTTAAATGAATTTTTACAGGTATATAAACTATATATTGAATACGTATTGAGTTTACCACAATCATATCTAGAAATGACAGGGATTAATCTAGGTTTTTGGGAAAACTACCCTTTCTGGAGAAGTTGGATAAAATCAGCCGCTGAACTGGGGACCATTCCAGGCCCCAGCAGATGCAGGGTGATCCCTGTTGGTGGGTCTTATTGAATTTCAGCATAATAATGCCCTTTTTATGACCATTTAGTGTGTGTAAAATAGCAGAGTAAAGCCATATTTCAGAGCTTATGAAGATTTTCAATTTTGTAAGACAAAAGAAAAATTATTGAGCTTATAATTGTTGTAAGGGGAATTTATTTACTCTGTGGAGGAAATTCGGGAGAATGTTTATAAACAATGTGGCTTGACTTTTTTTCAGCAACCATCCAAAATATCGTTATTTTCTCAATCAAAGTTTTCTCTCTATACATTAAATGTAACCCCAAACATTCCCATATCAAAAGGTTCAGTTATGAAATACAAGGGCACCATGGACAAAGGATGCACAAACATCTCAAAAGGTCAATGTATACATCTCAATGACATGGGGTAAAACCCAGTACCTATAACATCAGCGGTCCTATTTTTGGCCACAAAATATGCATCATCACCATAAGTCCATTGTTTAAAGGTCGGTGATTGAGAAATTGTCTTAGAAAAGCCAGACGATCCTGTCACCAAGTGTAAAGATTCTGTGGGTCGTGTTTTCAACTGTAACTCCGTGTGAAGTCCTGCGAAAAATGTTCTGGATAGTCCTGCGAGTCTTCCCAGTAATCCTGATGCCATGACAATACTATTCTTAACTCATTTCGTGTTTAAATCACACCATGTTCATTATTTTATCAGAAAACGCCAGCAAATACGATGATCCGTCCTGGTGGCTTCCATCTTTATTTAGTGACGCAAAACATCCAAAGGGACGTAGTCTACTATAAATATAGCAAGTCATTAGCCTTAAAACAAGGCCTAGCAGTGATTATGATATTTTTATTGTATTTATAAATGTGTTAACTTATGTGACATCTTTCTATAAATGTTAAAATAATTGTCAAACACGGGGAATTTAATTTTGTACGAGAGGACGTTATTTAGAAGGAACAAGGAACAATAACTCTTCCTCATTAAAAAAGCATGAAGAGTGCGTTCGAGACCATCGTTCAACCGCAACATAAACGAAACAGTAAATAAATAAAATCGAAATGAAAAAGTAAAATTATAATAATATGTTTAATATAAATATGTTAATCATGTGGCACAAGAACAACATGGACAAGTACTAAAATAAGATAAAATAAAAAGAAAATGAGAAAAAATGTTTTGGTGATATGTTGATTTGCGATATTATATTAATTACAGAGACATGGCATCGTTTTTCAAGGGGGCAGGCTGATACAAAAATTCAACTTTAATATCTCAAAATGTTTGACATGGAAAGAAAAAAGGAATATTGTACAAAATTCAATTTCGTAAGGGGGGTGGGGGTACAACTTCTCTCAGAACCATGTTAACCACATTACACTGATTAATATTATGGTATGATTGTGACAACAAAAAATAGGAGCAACCATCCTCAGAATGATCATTTTTCTTAAAAAAAGTAATCATGTTTGGAGAAAAAGGGGACACCCCTACCTCACGTGTCCAGGCATATCCTTGTCTTATTCTCTTTAGAGAAGTGAATGTAGGCGAAAACCTGTCCACTTCTCTAAAGAGAATAATCCTTGTCTCTATTCATACATGAACCCCCCCCCCCATCTTGAGGTAACGCAATAATTATAAGATTAACTATATTAATTTGGGCACTGTTATATACACATGTATCATATATATCAAGGAAGTTCTTATCAACACTGTTCTGTGAAGAGACCTTTTCCATAGGGTTTTATGCAACTCTCTAGAGTGTTCTAACCTCTGATGTAAATAAAATTAATCCTTATTTATTATGTTTTTCTCCGTAGCCTGGAAGCCTTTATTGTTTTTAACATTAATTAATTTACTATGAACTTTGAATAAATGCCATAGGTAAATTCATCAAAGTTCCGCCAGAGTTCGTTTGTACCAAACCAAACTCAGTGTCTCTATGTACGGAGACGCAGAGGACTATGGGTAGTATGGTAAATTCACATTACTCTGTGAAATCAGAGCCATTTTTGTGGGCATTTTCAATTACTTGAAAACTGATTTTCCGAACCACCGTAGAAAATTTCCTGAGCGCGGTCAATCGAACGCAGCCATATGTTATGAGGCTCTGGGGCCAAAAAACTTCGAGATTATGAAACCAACCGGAACCGCCCAAATGTAAACAAGACAGTGTGCATGTCTGACCTGTTTGCATCTGTTCTGTATCCCTTTTAATCAGTTTTACACACAAATAAGACACTGTCATATATTAAACATGTCATCAAGAAGAGCACTTCACTTTGTTTTTAAAGTTGGCAACAGAACAGAAACAGCCAAGTTCTACAGAGATGTATTAGGAATGCAAGTAAGTCTGCATGACATGTTTTAATTAAATTTATATGTTTTGCACAGTGATGCATGACAATTCACTGTTTATACATAATAATTATTTTAAGAGGAGAAAATGTAAGATTTATACCTGATACTACAGGTGCTTGGGGAAGGGACCCCCCCCCAATTCCATACACCAAGGGTTCTTTGAATTAACTTTTTAAAACAATATCAAAGAGTATTAAGTTTTATTTAAAAAAACTAGTTTTAGCTTTTAATTCTGGATTTTTTCAGTTGTAATATTGTGAATATGTCATAGAAAAATATAAAAGTCAAAGACCCGCGGGAGGGGGGTCTCCTAGCTGTCCCCAAGCATCTTGTACATGATACGTGTAAGTTTTGAATTTTTTAGCTCACCTGAACAGAAAGCAAATTAAAATGAGCTTTTCTGATCATATTTTGTCTGGCGTGCATCTGTCATGTCTCTCTATCTGTAAACTTTTCACTTCTCAAAAACTTTCATGCCATTTTTAGCTCATCTGAGCCGAAGGCTCAAGTGAGCTTTTTTGATCACATTTTGTCCGTCGTCCGTCCATCCGTCTGTCTGTCCGTCTGCCTGTCTAGCTGTCCATCCGTCTGTAAACTTTTCACATTTTCGACTTCTTCTCAAGAACCACTGGGCCAATTTTGACCAAACTTGGTACAAAGCATCCTTGGGTGAAGGGGAATTTAAATTGTTAAAATGAAGGGCCAAGTCCCCTCACAAGGGGAGATAATCCAGAAAAGACAAAAATAGGGTGGGGTCATTAAAAAATCTTCTTCTCAAGAACCACTGGGCCAGAAAAACTGAAACTTATATGGAAGCACCCTGGGGTAGTGTAGATTCTAAATTGTTCAAATCATGACCCCCAGGGATACTGCGGGGCCACAATGGGGAATCAAAGCTTTACATAGAAATATATAGGAAAGATCTTTAAAAATCTTCTTCCCAAGAACCACTGGACCAGAAAAGCTGAAACTTATGTAGAAGCACCCTGGGGTAGTGTAGATTGTAAATTATTCAAATCATGACCCCCGGGAGTAGGGCGGGGTCACAATGGGGAATCAAAGTTTAACATAGAAATATATAGGAAAAATCTTTGAAAATCTTCTTCTCATGAACCACTGGGCCAGAAAAGCTGAAATTTATATGGAAGCACCCTGGGGTAGTGTAGATTCTAAATTGTTCAAATCATGACCCCTGGGGGTAGGGCGGGGTCACAGTGGGGAATCAATGTTTTACATAGAAATATATAGGAAAAATCTTTGAAAATCTTCTTCTCATGAACCACAGAGCAAGAAAAGCTAAAACTTGTGTGGAAGCATCCTGGGGTAGTGTAGATTCTAAATTGTTCAAATCATGACCCCTGGGGATAGGGCGGGGCCACAATGGGGAATCAATGTTTTACATAGAAATATATAGGAAAAATCTTTGAAAATCTTCTTCTCATGAACCACTGGGCCAGAAAAGCTGAAACTTATGTGGAAGCACCCTGGGGTGGTATAGATTGTAAATTGTTCAAATCATGACCCCCGGGGGTAGGGCGGGGCCACAATGGGGAATCAATGTTTTACATAGAAATATATAGGAAAAATCTTTAAAAATCTTCTTCTAACGAACCACTGGGCCAGAAAAGCTAAAACTTATCTTGAAACATCTTGAGGTAGTGTAGATTTCAAATTGTTTAAATTATGATCATTGGGGTAGGGCGGGGTCACAATATGTATTACAAGGGGGAAATCTGGTAAAAAACAGAATGGTCAAAGATTCTCAGGTGAGCGATGTGGCCCATGGGCCTCTTGTTTTCTTTAAGTGGCAGGCCTAGAATTAAAAGAATTTGTTCTAATCGAAGGGCCAAGCACTCTTTTTAAAGGAAGATAATTAAGAAATTGGGAAATATATCGTATGAAGTTTATGTCTCCCAGTTTGAATTGATACATATACAAGAGTCTGCTCTATGTACAAATTAACAGTTTCTAAATTAAAAAGAGGCAATCAGACTGAATCTAAGCCACTGACAAGTAAAGTGAAAGTTAAAAAAACTATAATATTTAGAGCAGAAGGGTGTTCATGGAAATTGATCAATCATCCATGCCCCTCTTGCACACATATAACACATAAAATACCTGAATTAGCAAAATATCTATGCAGGTGGGATTCTTTACTCTGTAACATAATAAGAGATTGTCTTCAGGTCCCATAGTCACTGTTCTTTACAACACCAATGGTACCATGTATGTGGGATACATGTCTCAAAGCTGGACTAGCTCTGACAGGAAATACTTTTGCTTACTTGTATGTGCATGAATCTTTAAATTTCAGATTTTAAGACATGAAGAGTTTGAGAAAGGATGTGATGCAGCTTGTAATGGGTAAAAAAAAATTATCTAATTACAAGGTTTTTTTTTTTTTAATATTCAGAAAATTATCAAAATAAACTCACTTTTCAGAAGATAAATGTTATATGTGATATTAAAGGGTCAGATAATGGTAAGCACTGATTACTTGGCACTCTTTTCTCTTGTTTCTAGGCCTTATGATGGTAAATGGAGCAAATCTATGGTGGGATATGGTCCAGAAGATAACCACTTTGTGGTAGAACTGACCTATAACTACGGCATCGGAAGCTACCAAATGGGCAATGATTTCAGGGTAATAAATAAAGTAATCTTATTGTACAACTTTGTTTGATTATTATTATTTGAAAAAGTAGCCCCACCATTAACTTGACCAGAGCATAAACTTTGGAATCATTGTTGTTTATGGGTCACCCTTAATTACCACAAATTTACATCCCCTTCAATGTTTTTTTTTTAGTAAACATTATGATTCATTGAATCTACCATATAAATAGTAGCCCAGGAAATTATGTCCCCAATCAGGAATAAATAAAATTTTCCTTGCCCATAAACAATTGTGTGAAGCAAACTTTTAAAGAAACCTACAGATTCTTCAATTCTTGTTTGAATGCAAGTTGACTCAGAAATAATGAGATGGTTTTTGGCTCAATTATGAACTACAAGTCAACAGAGGATTTCATTTGATATGCAACTGTTGATGCAGTCTTTTAGGTGAGCACTATCACCCATGGTCCACATGTGATTTGAATGTATATTTATATTTACAGGGAATTACCATACAGTCCTCAAATGTATTGGCCAGTGCTAAACAGAATAACTACACAATCACACAGGAAGGAAGTCACAATGTGCTCACTTCACCTGATGGACACAAATTTTTTGTAGAAGACAAACAGCCTGATGGAGGTATGTGAAAGTCACAATTCACATTACTGAAGAAATGTGTGTCTTTTTAAATTGACATCAATTCACATTATGAGTATATTTCATTGCTTGTTAGAGTCACTGCATTTGTTGCTTAGGCCAAAATAAAAAATACCTTTGTTTGAATTGTTTCCCCTAACGCGACCGACCCAATTAAATCGCGCCGACTGAAAAGATTTTTTTAATAAGATGATTCAATATTTATTTTTATTGTTAACCAAGTTTTATAAAATACAATTTCATCAAAATCAGTTTTTATCAGAACGGCCGACATTGTTCTACTATGATTTTCAGGCCCTTGAAGATTGGTTGTTTCTTGAAGTTTGCTTTTAAATGGCATATGTATGATACTTAGCATTTTGTTCACAAACTGCTTTCTTTTGTACTTTTCTTATTTATAAAGGTAATTTTCCATTAAATTTTAGAATGTATTTTCAAAGCTGCAGTCAGAAAAAAATTGTTTACCTACCTCGACCCAACTTGAGAATTTAGGGTCGGATTAGGGGAAACAAAAATATTTTTAATTCCGGCCTTATAAACTGTTTGGTTTCCTTTCAATTTACTTTAAATTAATTAGAAACGTTTATACTAGCAATATGTATTAGAGTAATAAAATGGCTCAGTTGGATTTGCATCTTGAGTCATGGGATCTGTGTTGTAAAAAGAATTTTTGTTTCTACAAAATAGCTTGTAAATGGTTTCACTCTTTGGATGTTCATATCAACAAGCTAGACTTATTAAGACACTGTTGGTATATTAGAGATGCCCAAGCCCTCAGTTTAATAAACTTAAATGAATAATAGAGGTATTAACTTTGACTTCTTATATTGAACAGATCCAGTGAAGAAAGTTACACTAGCCTCATCAAATCTGAAGAAATCTTTAGGTAAGGTACATGTACATCCATCTGTCTGTCCATCTGTGAAACGTTCAGGGTAGAATTAATCATTTGATTCAGTGAAAAAGACTACATTTAAATCTAGTGATTTGAAATTTTATCAAATATCTGTTGGTGTTCCAAAACGTAAAAATTAGTTACACAGAGTCTGGATTGGATTTACATAAGAAAAAATAAGAACAATCTGTTTGAGGAAATAGTAAATGCTAGCTCTTTCTTTGTTTTCCTTCTCCCTCCCTCTATTGAAATTATTTCATATTTTGTATTGCAGATTATTGGTCAAATCTATGTGATATGAAAATTTATTCTCAAGATGATAAGTCTGCCATGTTGGGGTATGGTGATAATCAGGTAATGTGACAAAGAACAGGATTAGTTTGACCCAGAAAAAGCATTATATCACCCACCGCTCCATTATTCATGAATACAGATATTTATTTGTCAAATTGTATTTTCATCCCTATAATTCTAACACACATATCTTGTTTACATTGTAGTGCAAGCTTGAATTTGTTGATATTGGTGCTAAAGTAGATCATGCCAAGGCTTTTGGGCGAATAGCCTTCTCCTGTCCAAGGGTCCAGGTAAAACAATTAAGTGATTTTAAAAAATCAAAAGTATGGATACATTATTTTACAGTTTTATTAAATTAAGTTGGTAAAGGTATTAGTCATATTTCAATTGCTGAAGTATGCAGCTGTGTGTATAAGATTTTGATATTAATCCATCTGACTTTAAATTTCAGTTAGCTGAGATTCAAGAGAAAATGAAAGCTGCCAATCAAATGATTCTGACTCCATTAATCAGTCTGGACACTCCGGGTAAAGCTACAGTAGAAGTTGTCATCCTCGCAGACCCGGTAACAATCTCATTATCATTCAACTTGTTGTAGCAAATTCATCCCCCTCCCCATTACAATTTGATTAAGGCTGAAACACTTTATATACACTAAGTAATACATAAATGGTATATAAGTCATTGGTATTACTGCTTAATTGTAAATGTCAAAAACAAAGGAAAACATTTAAAATACAAATTATAGTTATCCTGTTGGATTTTTTTGCATAAATTTGTAGAAAAAATCTAAAAAGATAACAATGTTTCTATTACCTATACACCTGTACTTTGTTTTTTATAAAAAGGTGTCTAAAGGGAAGTTATAAGTAACACCATGTCTTTTCCTTGAGGTATTGTGAATCTGAATCCTCAGAGCTACAGTCCCATCAGAGATGTCTTAAAAATAATCACTGTAAAAGTACAGAAATTGCTTTTAAACATTTGGATTAATAAAAAGGAATTTTGAACATTTTTGTGAAGTTTGAAGTACTAGTTGGTTCTTTTCTGATTGACTTTAGGATGGCCATGAGATATGTTTTGTTGGAGATGAGGCTTTTCGTGAGCTGTCCCAGGTAGACCCACAAGCTGACAAACTATTGAATGAGGTGGGTATATAACTTTAGAATACTTGTTTTGATTGAAGGGTATTTTTGGGGAGCTGGTTTTGTGTACAGTCTTTCTAGGTCATAGGTGGAAAATTTGTTCAGAAGGATTTTGTATATGCTCAATATAATATTCAAAGGAAAAACTTTTTCAACTTTCATGTGCAAGTGCATTATCCATGAAGCTGATTATTTTGACTTAATGGTACATGTACTACACTGCACTCTGGATTGAGAAGTAATCTATAGTATATAAGGTGAATGATAATCAGAATATTTAAGTTCATGCAACTCTATGTAAGTCATACTAATAGACTATACTAATTATAGTGTTTCTTCAATTAGAAACATGCATTGACACAGTGGAGAATACAGTTATTAGTGTGATTCTTCACTATCACTAAAAATGTGACTGTTTAATATATAGTTTGTTGCAGAGCATATATGGATGAAGTTGGACAATACACTACTCATTTTACATCTATGTCCTAACTTCCCCCACCCCTCTCCTCTAACTACAGGGCCTTCAGGAGTGAGGGCAAATCATCATAGAAATGCTAAATTTATTCCACCAACCACAAAATTGTTTTAATAATTAGATGATTATGATGAATAGTGAGTCTTCTAGTGAGTTCTACAAAACTAATGAAAGTAATACCAAAGAGTTTGAAGCACAGGCACTAAAACTTGGTCAAATTTTTGACCCCCTAGTATATAAGAGCTTCAATATACACTAGGGGGTCAAAAATTCAAGGTGAGTTGGACACATTCCAATACCAAATATATCTTGAAAGTCTTCTCTACTTTTGGACATTTAGTAGAAAAATCTTTGATAACTATTAAGCAATTTGCCGTTTGCCCAAAATTGTGAAATTCATGACAAAAGTTGCAGTATATCAACAAGTAAAATTATAAAGTACTTTATGATTATGAATAGTGTTTGATTGAAGTTGTTTGTTTACTTTATACTGTTGTATACTGTTTGTATCACTTCATGTATCAATATTTCATCATCATGTGTAAAATTTTACAGAATTTTCAATTTAAATTACTATGGCAACATAAATCAACAAAATCAAAAACACAAAACTGATGTGGCATTTTCTTGACATTAAGATACCAATAAAAAGGTCTATGTCTATGAAATAATAAACCCCAGACAAAAAAAAAAACAAAAACATAACTATCGTCTCATTGTATCCTATATTGAAATTCAACCATATTTTGATTTTTTAAAAGAATGTCTATTTTTCCAAATCTGTTCTTCCCGTATACAGCAGCATACTACGAAGTAATATTGAAATCAGAACATTTTTTTTTCGGCTACAACACTTGGAAAAATACCTTTCAAGCCCAACTGTAGTGAAAATAGCCAAAATAATTAATTTAAAAGAATTCCCTCCATGGTTTTAGTCCGATGTCAGAAATTCTAGTCTTTTTACTGATGCACATTTTATCTGTTTATTAATCAGAGCTGTAATCGGTTAATTACAAAGATTTTTAGATGACATTTTATCGAAAAAAAATTAAGATCTATGTCAAAGAGACGCATGAATATTGAAATGATTGGGTGGATCAAACAATTCTTTTTTCTTCCTTAGATATGGGCACTTTCTTACAGATTTTTACTGAAAAATGCAACGTTATTTCATTGAATTTTTTTGGAAATGCACAGCTACTGATGGATGGGTTCAACCAACAAATAAATGTATTTGCAACCGAAATATGCAACTTGTTCAGTGGTTTTTTGAAAGACAGACACTCATATATTTATTGTATGGAATATCCAACGGATATCTAAAGCCAATACGGTTTGGTCGTTGATACTATATTTAGGTCGAAAACACAAGACGCTAATATTTTTGTAAGTAAAAACTGTACCCTATTCATATCATGGCATATAAATAAAATAAACACAAAACTGCACTTTGGGTTATATAATTTTATTCATAGACACATATGCTAACATTTTAAGCCCATATTTTTTTAAGTTTCAATAAAGTTTGCAATAAATTAATAAATTACATCTAAATAGGTCGAAAATACAATACGCCAGGATATATGAAGATATTCATCTGTTGATCTCAATTGGTGCAGATATGAAGAGTCAAACTTACCAAGCTATAATACAAACATCAAATCTATTTTAGCAACAGAAGATACTTCCTGTAAATCACAGACTTCACTCAATCTGAGCAATTTATGGTGCTAATTTGAATATTCCCTCCTACACCCTTTATCAAAAACTTTATCTATTATAAAGAATAGAAGCCATGGGCTTTTTGACCTGACATTCCCAAAAGTTTTTGCTATCAAGCTCGCCATCACAACAACCAACAAATAAAGATTTCTAAGTTACTGTACAGAGCTAGAGCAAATAAAAGTAATGCTCTTTGATTTAATTTTGATTTCACAGTCATCTCATTTGAACAATCTTTGGTGCAAATATTAAAAAAAAGTCACAGAAGCTTCTCTTATTATTGCATAGGCACAAAATTCATCATAACTTTAAAAATAATCCAGACCTTTTCCTCCCTCCCTGAAATTGTGGTAATGTGGAGCATATTAATTTGAGTCTATCTATCTACCCATACATCATTCTTTTTGCTTTAAAACTTTCATTTCCAGGTTGTACCTCTAAAAATCCCTTAGTTTCTGAAATAAAATAACATACTTTGACTTGATGATATGAGCTAGGTACCGTTTTGGTATTCACTGTCAAAAAGTGATATCACCTATTCAAGTGGTGATATCACCTATTCAGATAAGTGATATCACCATTCAGATATTGAATAGAATATCAAATATTTGAATACGTGATATCACCTATTTTGATTTGAATTGGTGACATCACCTATTCGAAAAGGTGATATCTCTTAATCAAATAGGTGATATATCACCTATTCGAATAGGTGTTATCACCTATTCACAATATCATTTTGAATAGGTGATATCACTTATTCAAATAGGTGATATCACCTATTCAAATTATTTATGGAATAACAATGGCTCCCAAGGCTATAGGTCCCTTAATCTTATTTACTTCCACTTTCGTTTTATAACTCATCGTTCTAGGAGACAATGGATTACAGTTTTGCATTTAATTTTAACCAATCTTGGTTTTTGGTTTTCTTGTTTCTAGAGAGCATTCATTATTTATTGTTATAAGAAATTCAAATAGGTGATGTCACCTATTCGAATTGGTGATATTACCAATTCAAATTGGTGATATCACCAATTCAAATTGAATAGGTCATATCACTTATTTTGAATGGGTGATATCACCTTTTCAGCACAAATAGGTGATATCACCTATTCATTTCCAATAGTTGATATCACCAATTCTAATAAGTGATATCACCTATTCGAATAGGTGATATCACTTTTTGCAAGTAAATACCAAAACGGCACCTCATATGATAAGGACTTGGCATTTACATTGGAATTTTGTATCATAACTCCCGAAGTTTTAAAGAAAACATTATTGATTTTAAAGTAAAATGGTCTATGTTAAAATATAAAAATATAGTTTCCAGATGATGTTTAGTTAGTTTTGAGATTTGATAGTAAGTTGACAATTCTTTCAAACTAAAGACAGACTTCTGTTGATTTAAGATCAAAGGTCAAGGTCACATAATCACAAATGTTTGAAATGGTATTTCACCTTTTTTCAGATGCTAGATAGATCTCTTAAAGTACTTAACCTCTGGAAAAAGGTTTCTTGTTGTAAATTCATATGAATTAAGAAGACCTGTTGATTTTGAGTTTTAAAGATGAAAGGCTCCTTTTAATTCATCTTTTGTATAAAATGGTTTCCAAACTCACTTCAATACTGTCTAAACATGATGCTCAAATTGTTTCTGAGATGGAAGGATCAAAGGTCAATTAATCTTGTTCTCTTTGAACCTTTGAAATGAAACTTAAGTTGATGACATTTTCTAATTCAAAAAAGGCCAACTGATTCAAAGATAAACTGGTGAAAGGTCAAGGACACAAATTTATATATCATAAGTTATTATTCATCACTACCATGGTATAAACTGGTTTCCAGATTAAATTCAATACTGGATATATTAAAAAAAACTTCTCCAATTGATTCTGAGATGAAAGGGTCAAAGGTAAAGGTCTAAAATTTATAAATTAAGAGATGAAACTAGAATATATTCTAAAGTTAACTTATGGAAAACATATCTCATGAAGAGAATTGCAAGATATTAGACCAAAACAAGATATGTACAATTCTTTATATGGTGAATGTACACTCAAAATAATAAAAGTCTGTGTAGAGTATGTGATTTACCGGTAATCAAAACTCAATACATCATCTGTGCTGTTATTTACTGTTGTTCCACATGGAATTGGCTCTTTCATTTGCTACATGGAGTAATGAGAAAAAAGATCACAAAATTATCACCCGCCTCCGGCAGACTAATTGTTTTATTCTTGTCATGAGGTTCATAGGTTTGAATGTGGATCCAAGAACTGATCATAGGAGAGTGTATTCTTTGATCTCTGGCTTGACATTTGTTTCTGATTTACTTGCTAAATCACCATTTTTATATCTGTAGGCCATCGCAGCTGATAAAAGTGAGGAATGGTTTCAGAAAAAAGGCATATCAAAGGCTGCAGGGTAAAACCATCAAGTATACAAACACTACCTGGAGCTGTTGATACAGCAGGCATTGCTCCACAGATATTGTGATCATTAGTATATTTTGCAATATTCTGTCTAGTCTTTCCATATATTCCTGTTAGAGATGATATTATTATAAAAGATGATTATCTTACAAATAATCAAGATTGTATAAATGGAAAATTACACTACTGTTATTTTTGTTTATGATTACATTGGTTGATTTCACAATGATAGACATATTCTATACAACAAGAAAGCTAGTGTCTTTTCATTCCTTTTGAAACCATTTAGCCTATTGAAAAAATGAATTTCCCTAAATAATGCCAATAACTGTGATTGATATGAAATTCCTATCAGATTTGAGTCTAAATCCTTTATATTTTTGATTTCTATGTTAATTTTAAGTACATGTTCATTTTCAATAAATATTGAAAAAATGGAATGCTAAGCTTTTTAATTCAAAACAATATTTGTTTGTGAAACACTGATGGCCCCATATGGCAGCTTATGGCAGGGGTTGAATTTTCTCAAATCCATGTCAATCTCCAAAGCTCAAAAGTGTTGGTACCCAAAGGAAGGTCTTGTTACAAGAGATAAACCTATGGAATATGAAAGCCCTTGTTCTAACTTTTCAAAAGTTATGACCAAGGTTAAAGTTTTTAAAAAGTGGGTCAAACTCTAAGGTTAAGGTCAAAAGGTAAAAAATATTTATACTCACTGAAAGGTTTTGTCACAATTAATACACATGTGAAGTACAAAAGTCCTAGCTACAAATATTCAAAAGTTATGGCCAAGGTTAAAGTGTGGTATTTTTGTGTAAAAGTAGGTCAGACTTCAAGTTCAAGAGGTCAAATTTGGTGCTTCCCGAAGAAAGATCTTGTCACAAGGAATAAACCTGTGATATATGAAAGCCATAGCCAGGCCCACTCAAAAGTATGGGCAAGGTTAAAGTTTTTGCAGACATACAGACGGACAGGGCAAAAACTTTATACAAGTACCCCCTAAACTTAGTTTACTGGGGCATGAAAATAAATGTTCTACTTATTAACTTGATCATACAAAGAATAAGATTTCAAATGTCAGGTATGTTATCTGAAAGACACCAGTACAGGTAATGTGACCTCAGAGACTTCTGGTTGCGTGGTATATTGCATTGTGCCCAGCTTTCGCAAAAGCAAGGGGACATTAAATTTCATTTGTCTGTCAGTCTGTAGTTCTGTCCTTCCGTCACAAAAACTTTATCTTTGGCCATATCTTTTGAATTAGAAGAGATAGGGCTTTCATATTAAATATGTATATTACCTGTGACAAGACCTTTCGAAATCTTAATGATTTTTGACCTCGTGACCTTGACCTTGAAGTTGGACCTACTTTAAGAATTTAAAACATTACTTTGATTTGGCTATAAATTTTGAATGAGAAAAGATGGGGCTTTCATATTAAATCTGTGTATTGCCTGTGACAAGACCTTTCTAAATACACTATGATTTTTAACCCTGTGACTTTGACCCTGATATTTAACCTACTTTTCAAAAATGTAATTTTTAGGTCACCTAAGTAAACTCAGGTGACCTATTCTATCTGTTTTCATCCGTCGTCGTGCGTTGTGTGTCTTGTGTTAACATTTGAACATTTTTAGCTTCTTCTCTGCAACCACTCAACCAATATCCACCAAATTTGGCATAAAGCATCTATGGGGGTAGGGATGAATGAATGTAATGACCATGAGTCCTCTACCAAAATTGTGAAATTCATGGCCCCAGGGTCAGGGGTGCTAGGGCGGGGCTCTATTGATTATGTAGTGAAAATGCATTATTTCTATAAAAATCTTCTTCTCTGCTCCTGGGTATTAAATAAACTAACTAAGTACATAGTTATGATGAGGAAGAATGCCTCTTCCAAAATTGTGAATTTTATGGCCCAGGGTCAGGTGTTCTGGTGCTAGGGTGAGAGAAAATGCAGAAATTCTATGAAAATCTTTTTCTCTGCTCCTGGGTATTAAACAAACTAACTTAGTATATAGTTATGATGAGGAAGAATGCCTCTTCCAAAATTGTGAATTTTATGGCCCCAGGGTCAGGGGTTCTGGTGTTAGGGCGGGACTCTATTGATTACATAGTGAAAATGCATTATTTCTATAAAAAATCTTCTTCTCTGCTCCTGGGTATTAAATTAACTAAGTACATAGTTATGATGAAGAAGAATGCCTCTTCCAAAATTGTGAATTTTATGGCCCCAGGGTAAGGGGTTCTGGTGTTAGAGGAGGGGGGCTCTATTGCTTATATAAAGAAAATGCAGAAAGTCTTTGAAAATCTTTTTCTCTGCTCCTGGGTATTAAATAAACTAACTTAGTATATAGTTATGATGAGGAAGAATTTTATGGCCCCAGCGTCAGGGGTTCTGGTGTTAGGGTGGGACTCTATTGATTATATAATGAAAATACATTAATTCTTTGAAGATCTTTTTCTCTGCTCCTGGGTATTAAACAAACTAACTTTGTATATAGTTATGATAAGGAAGAATGCCTCTTCCAAAATTGTGAATTTTGTGGCCCCAGGGTCAGGGGTTCTGGTGTTAGGGCGGGACTCTATTGATTATATAGTGAAAATGCATTATTTTTATAAAAAATCTTCTTCTCTGCTCCTGGGAATTAAATTAACTAAGTAGATAGTTATGATGAGGAAGAATGCCTCTTCCAAAATTGTGAATTTTATGGCCCCAGGATAAGGGGTTCTGGTGATGGGGGGGGGGGCTCTATTGCTTATCTAAAGAAAATGCAGAAATTCTTTGAAAATCTTTTTCTCTGCTCCTGGGTATTAAATAAACTAACTTAGTATATAGTTATGATGAAGAAGAATGCCTCTTCCAAAATTGTGAATTTTGTGGCCCCAGGGTCAGGGGTTCTGATGTTAGGGTGGGACTCTATTGATTATATAATGAAAATACATTAATTCTTTGAAAATCTTCTTCTCTGCTCCTGGGTATCAAACAAACTAACTTAGTATGTAGTTATGATGAGGAAGAATGCATCTTCTAAAATTGTGAATTTTATGGCCCTAGGGTCAGGGGTTCTGGTGTTAGGGCGGGGCTCTATTGATTATATAGTGAAAATGCAGAAATTCTTTGAAATTCTTTTTCTCTGCTCCTGGGTAATAAACAAACTAACCTAGTATATAGTTATGATAAGGAAGAATGCCTCTTCCAAAATTGTGAATTTTATGGCCTCAGGGTCAGGGGTTCTGGTGTTAGGGAGGGCTCTATTGATTATACAGTGAAAATACATTAATTCTTTGAAAATTGTCTTCTCTGCTCCTGGGTATTAAACAAACTAACTTAGTACCGGTATATAGTTATGATGAGGAAGAATGCCTCTTCCAAAATTGTGAATTTTATGGCCCCAGGGTCAGGGGTTCTGGTGTTAGGGCGGGACTCTATTGATTATATGTGAAAATGCATTATTTCTATAAAAATCTTCTTCTCTGCTCCTGGGTATTAAACTAACTAAGTACATTGTGAATTTTATGACCCCAGGGTAAGGGGTTCTGGTGTTAGGGAGGGCTCTATTGATTATAAAGAGAAAATGCAGAAATTCTTTGAAAATCTTTTTCTCTGCTCCTGGGTAATAAACAAACTAACTTAGTATAAAGTTATGATAAGGAAGAATGCCTCTTCAAAAATTGTGAATTTTATGGCCCCAGGGTCAGGGGTTCTGGTGTTAGGGCGGGACTCTATTGATTATATAGTGAAAATGCATTATTTCTATAAAAATCTTCTTCTCTGCTCCTGGGTATTAAACTAACTAAGTACATAGTTATGATGAGGAAGAATGCCTCTTCCAAAATTGTGAATTTTATGGCCCTAGGGTCAGGGGTTCTAGTGTTAGGGGGGCTCTATTGATTATATAGTGAAAATACATTAATTCTTTGAAAATCTTCTTCTTTGCTCCTGGGTATTAAACAAACTAACTAAGTATATAGTTATGATGAGCAAGAATGCCTCTTCCAGAATTGTGAATCTTGTTAAAAAAAGATTGTGAATTCTATGGCCCAAGGGTCAGGGGTTCTGGTGTTAGAGCGGGGCTTTATTGATTATATAGTGAAAATACATTTAATCTTTGAAAATTTTCTTCTTTGCTCCTGGGTATTAAGCAGATGAACTACCTATATAGTTATGACGAGCAAGGGCCATTCTTCCTGAATTGTGAATTTCAAGACCCTGGGTCAGGGGTACCATAGAGCGGGTGGGTGGGTTCTACTTATATACTGAAAATGAATTAATTGATTGAAATCTGCTGATTGGTATTAATCAAACATTTTGAAAAGCAAGGGTGCCTTTTCCAAAATTGTTAAATGTGTCAGGTTCAGGTGTGGTAGTGGCACTACTGATTATTGCTGAATATTACTGATTAGTCGAAATGCATTTTTTGTTCCCCCTCTCTGTCTATGGGTATTAAGTAACCAAAGTAAGCATGCTATGTGTATAGTTATGATAAACAATGGTGCCTCTTTCAAAATTGTGAATGTCATGATGTCTTTTTCAAAACATGAACCAAATTCAATTGTTGGAAAGTTGTTGCATGATGCTCAGGTGACCTATAAGGCCCATGGGCCTCTTGTTCCTTATAACTTTTGATTGAGAAGAGATAGGGCTTTCATATTTGACATGTATATTACCTGTGACAAGAAATTTCCGAGCATGCTATGATTTCTGACCCCTTTACGTTCCGAGTCTAAAAATATCAACTTCGCCACTTTTAACCAAAATTGGTACAAAGCATCCTTGTGTGAATTGTGTGTGTGTGGAAGGGGGGGGGGGGTAAAATTGTTGAAATGAAGGACCAAGCCTCCTTGGAAATGGACATGCATAATTAAGAGAAGACAAAAAATGGATGCAGTCTTTAAAAAATCTTCTTTTCAAGAACCACTGGACCAGAAAGCTGAAACTTTTGTGGAAGCTACCTGGTGCAACATAGATTCTAACTGTTCAAATCATGGTTCCTTGGGGGAAGGGTGGGGCCACAGTAAGTAGTAAAATTTTTACACTGAAATATAACAGAAAAAAATCTTTAAAAATCTCTCAAGAACTGTTAGGCAAGAAATGCTGAAACTTATATGCAAACTCTCTGACATAACGTTGATTTTAAATTTTTCAAATAATGTCCCAGGGGGGTATGGTGAGGCCACAATAAGAATAACAGGAGGGAAATCTGGTGAAGAACATCAGGGCCAATGTAACTCAGGTAAACATTGCCCATATGGGCCCCTTTGTTAATTTCAGGAAATATCCAGATTGATTGAGATGACAGATAGCAATATCCTGAAGCTCTCAGAAGTGCATATAGTAACAAAAAAGAAAGGATCATTCTCTATAAGGCCGTTTTGCGGCCTACAATGACATCAAATTTTCAGATAGTATTTTTTCCCTTAAAAATTGCATGAATCACTAGGCTTATGTTCCAATTTAATGATAAATATCGGTTGGTTAATGATACAAGAGTATTTTTAATGATATAGGGTCACAAAGTAAGGTACTGTCGGTCCGTATTAGCATTAGAGTAATGGGAAAACTCAAGAGGGTGGCTGTGTTAGATAACTCATACGCATGTCATAACCACCTTTAACCAACACCAAAATTTGCATGTAAATTTCTAATAAACATAAAAAGTGACTACCAAATTATGAGTTTGGTTAAAGGTGGTTATGACATCCAAATAAAAACTTTTCGCTTCATTTTTACGATATTTGCAGAAAAAGCTAACTACTCACAATGAAGAATATCAGCTTATGTAGAGTATTTCTTTTAATGAACTTTTGGTTAGAGTACAATTTTCTGATGATTTACTAAGACTTATATCAGGTATGCATATTTACTAAAAATAAATGTGAAATTTTTACTTAAAAAATTTAAAATCAAAGGACTGAGAGGACTGGATGTCATGAAATTACAAGTGGAGACGTTTCATTGAAATGTCTAATAAAAATTAAGAAATAAAAACTTTTATAGACTGTAAGGTGTGAATATGAGTTATCTTTTATATTTATAATGATAGTTTAGTTTATCTTTATATGCTACTTCTCTGAATTCCGTTATGAGTATTGCAAATATTCTTTGTATTTCCTAATGAGTACTGTATATCTTCTAGAAATGATAAAAGCCATCTTTGTTGAAGCGGTAAAATGCATTTCCTATTTGTGTTATAGACTTTTTTCCTATGGGTACACACATAATTTTTATATGGACACTTCCGTACGAGTAACATGTGATCCATATTTTGTTAACTGAATGGGTTTATAGACAGGACTCAATCTATGCATCACACTTCTTTGATAGCATCGATATAAGTTACGAGAACAGTAGTCCTGTCTAAAAAAAATAAAATGGTAAGGAGGAGAGGGATTCCTATATGTAATATGTAATTTATAATTGAATGTTGCTTTACCCCATTTAAGGATTTTTCAACCAGATAAAGAGATCATCCACTTAAGGTCAAGTGTTTATGCACAGTTGCATTACTGACCAACGCCTAACGCGGGACGGGACCTTTTTCAAAAAGATAATATCCTAAAGACCCATGATATTCACTTTAAATGCTAAAGACTTAGGTAGGGAACTGTCACTATCTGTATAAAACAAGTTTTTGACGCTGCACTAGGAAGGAGACTGAATTTAACCCACAGGTTTCAAGCGTCCGAAAGGAGCATCAAACCCTTAGGGTCCATTTTGTACCTGGGATGTTGTAGAATCTTAAGTCCATATACTAGTATATACGAAAACTTCTGATATGCATAGTTGAAGGAACTGTTAAATTTCTACTCCATTTTATGTTGTGAAGTTAGAAACGGTGGGGGGGGGGGGTCTCAACTTTTATATATGTAAATACATCAAGTTTCAATGGCATTTTTAATTAAATATATCATGCAACACGAGTAATTGAATAAAAGCAAAGCTGTTTTACGACGATATTTCATTTCACTTAGAGATGTATATTTTAATGTAACCGCTCTGAGTTACATGTATATATATTGACTATTAACATGCAAATGGATAGTCAACATGTACTTGCATTGATGTTTTTTATGCTGTTAATTCTTTATTTTTTGCAATTGTTGAATTTCTTTTCTTAATTACCATTTCAGTTTTATTTAATCACAATCAAAATCCATTCATTGCTTTCAACATTTGATACATAACTTTTATAGGTCAATAGAAACTCAGAAACCTCATTTCTAAAATGGTTATTTTATGCGTAAAATAAGTAACACATCTATAGAAATGATATACAATTATATTATAATTATATATGATATATTACTATTAATAAAATACTAATCAAACTTTTTTCAGCATCATACAGTGTGAATTTCGTAAAGATTTACGTTCAAAATATGCAAAATGTGGATGCATCGGAATTCTTGTCATAAAAAATATATTGAACCTTAAATTTATAAAATATTCCACTTCATTACTTATGTCTGATCTATTTCCGACATAAATAAACAAATTTTGATCATTTACAATCAGAAATATGCATAGAAACTTGATTTGAATAGACCCACCCTCAATTTTTCTTTAACTGACGGCCATTTTTTATTTCTAAATCACGTGACTTAGATGATCAATGTTGATAAACAAACATCAAAATCATGAACTAGAATGATTATAGTTATATAAAATCACATTTTAAAGTGATTTTGTCGTAGGCCGGAAAATGGCCTTATAGAGAATGAACCTTTATTAAAATAAAAAGAGCTTCCATAAACTTTACCCCAACAAAAGTTAAAAAGAAGATTTTTTCAATGACAGATTTTATTTGTATGTTTATTATGCAGAAAAGATGCAGAGAAAATCATGATTCTTCAGTACTATATGGCCACATAAACTTTTGATTGCAAAATTGAATAAAAAATTATATGATCTACGTGAAGTCTATTGTCTAAGCCTTCTGGAATTTCACCACGGCAGAAACACCGTTAATGGTCATAGTCTGCAATTAAAAAAAAAAATAATGAAAAAATGTTAATTATGTTGTAATATTATATTCTTATATAAAATATTCAAACAAAATCATTGCAACATTTATTCATACATGTGATTAAAAAAGAAATATATATTCATTTGCTTTTTTAAGAATGATTAATGTGCACTCATAATACCTTTTGGTTGATAATCTTTAATACTGTGTATCTGACTGCAGTTGATTATTTTCTAATACTCACTGACTGCAGTTGATAATTTTGAAAGTCTATATGATAGAAGTTAGTTATCTTCTGAAACTTACTGACAGTAGTTGATAATTTGCCTATACTTACTGACAGTAGTTCATTATTTTCCTATACTGACAGTAGTTGATTATTTTCTTATACTGACAGTAGTTGATTATTTTCTTATACTGACAGTAGTTGATTATTTTCCTATACTCACTGACAGTAGTTGAGTAGTTTCCTATACTTACTGACAGTAGTTAATTATTTTTCTATATTAATTGTCAGTAGTTGATTATTTTCCTACACTCACTGACAGTAGTTGATTATTTTCCTACACTTACTGTCACCGTAGTTGATCATTTGCCTATACTTTCTGACAGTAGTTGATTATTTTTCTATACTGACAGTAGTTGATCATTTGCCTTTACTTTCTGACAGTAGTTGATTATTTTCCTATAGTTACTGACAGTAGTTGATTATTTGCCTATACTTACTAACAGTAGTTGATTATTTTCTTATACTAACTGACAGTAGTTGATTATTTTCTTATACTTACTGACAGTAGTTGATTATTTTCCTACACTCAATGACAGTAGTTGATTATTTTCCCACACTCACTGACAGTAGTTGATTGTTTTTCTATACTTACTGACAGTAGTTATTTTCCTATACTTACTGACAGCAATTGATTATTTTCCTACTCACTGTCAGTAATTGATTATTTTCCAACACTCACTGACAGTAGTTGAAAATTTGCCTATACTCACTGACAGTAGTTGATTATCTTCCTACTCTCTTTGACACTAGTTGATTATTTTCCTATACTCACTGTAAGTAGCTGATTATTTTCTTATACTCACTGACAGTAGTTGACTACTTTCCTATACTTACTGACTGTAGTTGATAATTTTACCATTCTCACTCACAGTAGTAGATTATTTTCCTATACTCACTGTCAGTAGTTGATTTTTTCATACACTCACTGACAGAAATTGATTATTTTCCTACACCCATTGACAGTAGTTATTTATTATACCATTCTCACTGACAGTAGTTGATTATTTTTCTAGACTCACTGACAGTAGTTAATTATTTTCCTACACTTACTGACAGTAGTTATTTTCCTATACTTACTGACAGAAATTGATTATATTCCTATACTCAATGACAGTACTTGATTATTCTCCTATACTCACTGTCAGAAGTTGGTTATTTCCCTATACTCATTGACAAAAATTCATTAATTTCCTATACTCACTGAGAGCATTTGATTATTCTCCTACACTCACTGACAGTAGATGATTATTTTCCTATACTGACTCACAGAAGTTTATCATTTTCCTACATTTACTGTCAGTAATTGATTATTTTCCTACACTCCCTGACAGTAGTTGATAATTTTCCTACACTTTCTGTCACAGTAGTTGATTATTTGCCTATACTTTCTGACAGTAGTTGATTATTTTCCTATAGTTACTGACAGTAGTTGATTATTTTCCTATACTGGCAGTAGTTGATTATTTTCCTACACTCACTGACAGTAGTTGATTATTTTCCTACACTTACTGTCACAGTAGTTGATTATTTGCCTATACTTTCTGACAGTAGTTGATTATTTCTCTATCCTGACAGTAGTTGATTATTTTCCTACACTCACTAACAGTAGTTAAGTAGTTTCCTATACTTATTGACAGCATTTGATTATTTTCCTACACTCCCTGACAGTAGTTGATAATTTTCATACACTTACTATCACAGTAGTTGATTATTTTCCTACATTCACCGTCAGTAATTGATTATTTTCCTACACTCCCTGACAGTAGTTGATAATTTTCATACACTTACTGTCATAGTAACTGATTATTTTTCTATACTAACTGTCACAGTAACTGATTATTTTTCTATACTCACTGTCAGTAGTTGATTATTTTCCTACACTCACTGACATTAGTTGATTATTTGCCTATACTTACTGACAGTAGTTGATTATTTGCCTATACTTACTAACAGTATAGTTGATTATTTGCCTATACTTACTAACAGTAGTTTATTATTTTCTTATACTAAATGATAGTAGTTGATTATTTTCTTATACTTACTGACAGTAGTTGATTATTTTCCTAAACTCACTGACAGTAGTTGATTATTTTCCTATACTTACTGACAGTAGTTGATTATTTTCCTATATGTACTGACAGTAGTTGATTATTTTCCTACACTTAATGACAGTAGTTGATTATTTTTCTATACCCACTGTGAGTAGTTGATTATTTGTCTATACTTACTGACAGTAGTTGATTATTTGTCTATACTTACTGACAGTAATTGATTATTTTCCTTGTACTCAATGACTGTAGTTGATTATTTTACCATTCTCACTCACAGAAGTTGATTATTTTCTTATACAATCTAATTAATATTAGATGTTAGATCCGCTCACATACTCGCTACACTAACATCTAACAACATCCAGTAGAGGGTCACATCAGAGGTCAAATTCTATCAACCAATCAAATCGTCGCCTGCAAAATCATTGAATATTGGTGAAGCGAATATGTCTAGAGTTGTTCCGAATTTGACCTCTGACATGACCCTCTAAGGGATGTTGTTACATGTTAGTACCAAATTTGACCTCTGACGTGACCCTCTATGGGATGTTGTTAGATGTTAGTTCCGAATTTGACGTCTGCCATGACCCTCTATGGGATGTTGTTAGATGTTAGTTCCGAATTTGACCTCTGACATGACCCTCTAAGGGATGATGGTAGATATTAGTTCCGAATTTGACCTCTGACGTGACCCTCTATGGGATGTTGTTAGATGTTAGTTCTGAATTTGACCTCTGACATGACCCTCTATGGGATGTTGTTAGATGAGTATGCGAGCGGATCTAACATCTAGTTTTAATTAGATTGTTTTCTTGTACTCACTGACAGTAGTTGATTATTTTCTTATTCTTACTCTCAGTAGTTGATTTTTTCCTAAACTTATTGACAGTAGTTGATTATCTTCCTATACATGTACTTACTGACAGTAGTTGATTATTTTCCTATACTGACAGTAGTTGATTATTTTCCTATACTGACAGTAGTTGATTATTTTCCTATACTTACTGACAGTAGTTGATTATTTTCCTATAGTTACTGACAGTAGTTGATTATTTTCTTTTACTGACAGTAGTTGATTATTTGCCTATACTTACTAACAGTAGTTGATTATTTTCCAATACTTACTGACAGTAGTTGATTATTTTCTTTTAATGACAGTAGTTGATTATTTTCTTTTACTGACAGTAGTTGATTATTTGCCTATACTTACTGACAGTAGCTGATTATTTTGTAATACTTACTGACAGTAGCTGATTATTTTCTATTTTTCTTGTGATTGTGACAACAATATCTCCTGCCTTCTGTGTTTCTGTCATTTCTTCTCCATTTAATGTGACTGTGCACTAAAATTCACCAAAAAAGTACAAATTACTAACTTGAAGAAGTACTGTGATCCTGCTGAGGATGGGATTTAGATGTAGATACAAATACAATGTTATGTTTAACTTCAATCACCAACTCAGAACATCTTAGAAACTTGTCATCTTTATTTAAATGCAAATGTAGAAGCCAAATATTAAATGTGATGAGCATACCGTACGTGAAAACTTTAGCGAAAAGCAAATTTCGCGATTTCTCCTTCAAAATTGGTATTTTATTTTTAGCGAAATTTAATTTTAGCGCTTTTAAAAATGCTTGATAAAGAATCTTTAATTAATGATTAAAGTTAATATTTAGCGATATTCAATTTTAGCTATCTCAGCATTCTCGCTACTAATGCCAAAATTAAATCCTCGTTAAAAAAAATTCTACGTATACGGTATATTGAACATTTTTAAGAAAATTTTAAGAAAATGATCAATTGGTTGTATATTTAAATTATATCTTGAAAAACTTCTGTACATTGGTTATCTAAAAGTAGCATGCAAATTATTTGCATGTTCATTACAAGCAGATCCTTTCTATCAAATTTTTTATTTTTAGAAATCGGGCCACTGGGTTGGCATAGTCGATTATATTTTAAACCTGTACTGCAAGTATTATATAATTTATTTTGAAGTTTTTTTTATTCCTTGATATTAAGCATTTAGCAAACACGCATACTTTATATGTGGTGACAGTAAGATATTTATTAGTCTTGAGCTACTTAAAAAAAACTTTTTAATTAAATTTTTGTTCCCAGAGCTCAAGTGTGTATAGTGGTGCAAAGTTAATAATGTATTCAAAATGCTTTTTAAACTTTTAATAATTAAATAATGAATATCATTTCTACTCCTAACTTAGGAAAGGGGATCATGATTAATATGGTACTTGAAATAAAGTTGTCAGTTTGTAGAATTCATGTCACGTGATGGGTTCAGAGTTCCCATGATGGTCTGAGTTGGTCATATCAAGAAAAACTTGTGATATTCAGGTGATCTTCAAGGCCCATGGTCCTCTTTTGGATCATTAGTCCAACCCTAGTATCTAAACCCTTGACCTAATGGTGATTCATATTTTAATCAGAGGCATACTGAGGACAAATTAATCATCAGTGATTATTATCATTCAGTGAACACGTGATGGGTGTCCAGTAATATAGAGTTTTGATGTTCCTTAATGGTTTCATAGTCCCACATCCCTGATTCCTTAGAGGAACGCCGTTTATTTTAAACGTTTGGTTTCCTTTCACTCGCATAACAGAAATTCTAGTTGTAAACTGGAAGGAGAGAGGGGCTCAAAATAGCAAATAGGACCAGAAAATATAGTTTTTTAGGATTAACTTTGCTAATTCATCACCGCATTATTATTAGAATGTTTCCTGTTCAGCATTTTGTGAACAAATAAATAGAAAGACTCTGAAGCAATTGAAACTCTACTATAACGAGCTAACTTCCAATGCAGAGAAACTACGATATTTCCATTGTCTGAAGTAGAAAATTTAAATTATTTTAAAGCCCATGATGCTATGTAAAAATGCAATAATTAAGAGTTTAAAAACAATCGACAAAAGCCTGCATCTCTCGTGCATCTACTCCAGCGTGCTAGGGGTTCACGGCGAGATACTTTGGACTTGGTGCCGCGTGCGTGGTCTACTTCAAACCGATAGCTATAATTAACATGCAAAATATCAACCACAGCACAATTGACTCAAAGATAAAAACTGGCAAGATGGCAAAAAAACTATATGTTCTGAGATTTTATTTAATGCAGGTTTTATTTGTCAGAGATGTTCACCCTATTCTGCAGAAATTTGAAGAGTTTTTGTTCGTTTTAGCTTATCATTCGTAATATAGTACTTGCATGCATGTTGATCATTTCTTATTACGTACAATTGATAATTTTGAGATAAAATGAATTTTGATTGTTCCTTTAATAATCGTCATGTATATGATGTCAGAATAAAAGCAGTGTAATTAAAACCAAAACTGGATCCCTTTCATTGCTAAATACATATATTTTAAAGACGACATGGAGCATACCATCCTAGAAGCATAATTTCTGGAGCTTAATCCGTAATCCGTATTTTGAAACAAATATCTGTAATAGTAAGACTGCTCCAATTTACTCTGACGAATAGAATATTTTGATCAAGTTACATGTAAGCATAGTTTACCTTCAGAGGTTGTCCTGTGAGACTAAACATTTTAAAAACATTTTTAAAACATTTCCTCTTCTCTCTATAACATTTTAAAAACGTGAGACGGAATCGAATTCTTCGCCTAACTTGAAGGTGGAATCTTTCATTTTTTCGCCCACCACTGTTTTGATGGTCCACGTATCGCCGCTGTTGCTTATCTCCATATTGGGCTGATTCTTACGAGCGATTTCTCTCAAATTTTCTGGCACGCCTGAAACAAAATTAATAAAAAATATATTTAAAAATACTGGAAATATTTTAAAAAGAATTTGAAAGCAATTTTTACCTGCTTTATTAAGTTCTTTACAATTCCCTTTTGTCAGAAAGGCCCTATACCACAAGACTAGCTACCCCTTTCCATTTTCCAAACTGAATTTTATAAATTTCCAGCCAAAAAATTTTCACAAAATAAGTATAAATGTATAGAAAAAAACTATCTGGGGATAGTTTTATCTTTGAAATTTATATTTAGATCTAAATTACTAATGGTCGACTGCATGCGGACGTTTTCCATAAACTGAATGAAATGAAATTCCAGACAAATTTGTCTAGCATGTGAAAGATGTATGTACGAGGTTTAATTAATAAAGCTCCCCAGAAGAAAAACCCTCTCCAGTGGCACTGCCCGACAAAGTCAGAACACACGGGGGAATCTGCAGATTACCGATATAAACAAAACTGGCCAGTGTGCTGGAATGTGTAAATATATATGAATCGTGTACGTCAATATATCATACGTACGTGTAGCTTGTAGCATCGGTGTCAAAAATCGAGCTCTTAGCATATTTTAGTAATATTCATAATGCAAAATTTCCATTTCGTAGATCGTGTCCACTTTAAGTATGTAGGGGGATGGAATGATTAAAGTAGCTCAGGGAATCGGAAAGAATGTAGGGGGATGGAATGATTAAAGTAGCTCAGGGAATCGGAAAGAGAGAGTACCCGTGCCTGGGATGTTGTTTAGCGTATAAACAGATGGTTCTTTCAGAGAGTCGTGTATATTTATTTAACTAATGTACGGTGATAATTATACGTCTTCACAATTATTACTCAAACCTCAGCGCGAATCATAAAATTATTGATTTATATATCCCAGAAACTTATGTGTGTGATGTGTTTTTGTTTAATAACTAGAGTATAAATTTAAACTTTGTATCGAGAGAGAAAAAAGGGGATGGGAGAGAGAAATAAGGGGGAGGAGAAAGAGAGAAAAATGGTTAGAATGTCTGTAACATGAGAAGACTGACCGCTTGACCCTTTTTGTGTCATAATGGTTTATATTAGTTACATGGCCCCTGGGTGAATGACAAAATACCTGTAAAGGTCACATTAGCCCAAAGCTTAAAGATAAAATAAAATTATACAGGAAAATTGTTAGAAATGCAGATGAAAGCATCATGCGTGGGCTGCACTGTACTATAGTCCTAGAGATACTTAATACTATAGTACTATAATCCTTAATTGTATCAAATGATGCCATATATATATATAATGTGATAATTATATTTTTACACTGGTGAAGTACAAAAAACAATAATAATCCCTTTACAGGAAGTGATGGTGTTAGAATAAAACCTATTTTATCAGAACTGTAACTACAAAGTTCGAGTATTAAGATTGGGATAACACCCCCTTCCAAAACAGTCTCAGGAGTTTAAAAATCTAAGTTACAAAAAAGTTGATTTATTTTTTCAAAGAAAAAATCGAAAGTTTTACCTGAGATAGTTTTGTATCCATGCATTGGTTTTTTTTTGGCGGGGTTAAACATTGATGACTACTTAGTGTTACACAATTCAATGAAATAAAAAATTAAAATAAAAACTAAGTATACAAAACATTCATACCAGATGCTTCCATATAATTCTCCATGTTATCGGCTGAAACATAGCTCCATTTTCCAACTAAACTTGCCATTTTCGTTAGCTGAAGAAGAAAACACCTCTGCTTCTGTAGCCTTTCTGTTAGGTACGCGATATGCTCTGGTATATTGAAGGCACTGTGTAAACTTTGGCTCGGCTGTTGAAATCTGTGTGGCATTCAGTATGATAACGTATGGGCTTCATCCATGTCCACTCCACACTCACTATGGAGAGAGAGAGGGAGGGGGGGGGAGAGATGAGAAGGCGTGCTCCTGGCGAAATAACTTAACCCATCTGTTGATATTGCTTAGATTCATGTCAGACATAATATTAATCGAACTTAAAAGAAAATGAATTTAAAGAAACATCGACACTTTTAAATAAAATTCATTTTCAAAGAAGAATCTGATTTCGTGGTATTTTTTGCCCTTAACCATGCGTAAAAAAGAGTAGAACTACAGTCTCCACAGAGACTTCTGACTTATTACATGCCTTTGGCATGTAAATTGAAATCTATAGTGTATTCATCATTTTGCAATCAATCATAGCATACTTAATCATTCTTCACACTTTAACAGGCCAAGTTAATTAGATCGAACCTTTACTTGCATTACTTTTTCCTACTTCAGTTACATTGTAACAGTGATTTCTGTTCATTAATATTTTAGACTGCATTGTATCGGAGAAAATTTTTCCACATATAGTCTATAATTAAATAAATTATAACATAAACAGGACTTCGATTTTAACGAATGCTTTTGTCATGTGTATTACTAGAAATAGGAATTTCTATGACCCCCCCCCCCGACCCACCCAAGAAAAAAAATTACGTAGAGGGATACATAAACGATTATACAAGCTATTTTATTGATTGGTGTTGTATTGATTTCAGTCCAATGCTACTTTTTCCTTTACCATACGTAAAAACCAGTAGAACTACAGTCTCCTCAGAGACTTCTGAGTTATTACATGCCGAAAGTACTCATTTCCCTTTTTTACACGATGCCCGCCTTGCACATGCCTATGACTACCGTATCACCCTATCCCAGTGACATTTAGATACGATATCTGGTGTCCTTCTTACATGTCTAACCAATGATTGAATTGTATACTTAACTGCATTTAAAGCACGTGTCTGTATGTGATTTTGTACTGCACACCGCGGCAAACCCGTAACTTTATCAACTATCGATTCAAGTTATCAAGATACGATAAGTAAATAAATAGAAAATGTATTAGGAAATTTAAGTTTACAGTTTGGAGAAATAAATTTTTATATAATGCATGCTGTATGTTTGTGAGAAAGAAAGCAATTTAAGATAAAAACATTGATACATTATTCGAACAATTCAGACTCATTTTTGTGAGTTTGTACGTTCAGTTACTCAATTCCTGATTTTCAAGACCTGAGAATCGGACTACCTTAAAAAATAATGAAATACATAAGTTGTGAAATTGGCGGCTGTTTATCATACTGATAACAATTTTGCTTCATTTGAATAAAAATGATCAAAGTGTAGTTATCTGACAAACCAAGTCATATTCCGAAGTTTGACCATGGAGAAAATATAACTGAATGTACGAGAGTCTTGTAAATAACTGTTTTAAGATGGGCAAGTTTGTAAGGTTATATTAAAATTGTCATTCTCTCTTTCAAATAGATGTATTATGTATCCATAAATTTGTTTCCCAAAATATATAAATGTATATAAATGTATATATGGAATTAAAGTTTGTTCAAATGAAAGAGTCATACCTTAAATTATTCTAAGGGAAGAAAAAAAAAAGAAATAGTCATTTTAAAATCTTCTCGAAATACATATTGACAAAGCACAAATTACTAGTAGTTATAGCCGCCGATATTTTATTCAAATGGGCGACAATATGTGCCAGAAACGTCGGCAAGTACTACATTGTCGTTTTATACATTTCTTTGACTGAAGTTTACGAAGAAAATATTTGCCTAGTATGTCTTGCAAATGTTTATGTTTTAAGCACAGGTAACTGACGTTACTTATTTTTCTTTTAATAAAAAAAATACCCCTACCTAATAATGTATTATTAGGTAGGTATGGGTATATATTATTTTATTAAAAGAAAAATAAGTAACGTCAGGTGCCTGTGGTTTTAAGAAACGAACTTGGCTAACGAAGGCGATGTGTGAAAAGGAAAAAAAATACTGCGGAATAGATTTGACGCGGAAAGCAGGATTTATTTCAGTCATTATTCTAACAAATGATTCTTGGCGACAAAAGATGTTATCCGAGAAAGTTGGATTTGTATCCATCTCACTGAGACCTTTATCCTAGATAATCACAGTCCATATATCGGTCGATGATAAAAGTATCTACCTTCATGTACAAACATAGTACCAACGCATATAAAGACTGTTAATAGTCATTATCGATCAAACGAACTCTCTTTTTTTCTAGGAAAAAGCGATGGCGTGTACATCCGATTACAATTATGTACAGTGCATATCTACTGCTATAGAAACTAAATATATTTTTAATGTGGGAAAAAGTAGATTACTCAAGTGTCATAAGGTTTACTTGGTGACTTTTACTCACGAGGTTGGTTGTATATTTTTTGAAACACGTTTCAAAACTAATTAAAAACATACATTTGATGTTATGATTAGTATGAGGAAATGGTAGTCTGGATTTGACACATTAGTACACGAGTCGGAGGCGGGTGTATTATGTATCAAACCTTCATAACTTTCACCCACATCATAACACATTTATGGTTAAAATACGGTTGATGGTTGTTGTGTGTATGCAGCAATTTTATTAACCCTGACATTAAAAGAATAGAATTTTTAAGGAATCGTTATTTCAAACAAGATAATAATTATGTTTTTGAAACACGAATGCCCCCGTATTGCAACTTATGGCAAAGGTTAACGTGATCAATGGTTAAGTTCACATGATCAGAATTGTTGTTGCCCAAAGAAAGAACTATAGGCTCAATCATATATGTAGACCTAAATTGGTCTATGGTGCATTGAATATAAAATGTGCTTGTGAAATACGAAAACAAAAGCACATACCGTTCAAACCTTATGACAAAGATTAGAGTTTTTTTTAGAGTGAGTCGAACTACAGGTTAGGATTGAAGGGTCAACAATCATGGTAGCCATGGAAAGTTTTTCACAAGACCTTCCTTTGAACACCAACATTTTTGACTTTGACCTTGGAATTTGAACTGCTTTTAAAAAAAACTTAAATCTTGTCCATAACTTTTTCAAATAGTTGTCACTAGGGCTTTTATATTTCAAACTGTATTTCTTATGAAAAGGCTTTCCCTGGGTAACACTTATTTTGACCCTCTGTCCTCAACCTTGGAGTTTGACCCTTTTTAAAAAAATTAAACTTACGTCAGAACTTTTGAAAAGTCGATGCTTTGGTTTATAGATTTGGCAGTATTCATTGCTTTGGTTTTCATATTTCACGGGTACTTGCATATTCACCGAGACGCATACATTCGCTTTGTTTTAAATTCGCCAAGCCAAAGTTTTGTTGAAGACTTCATGCAGTCTGCCCTGGTTTAAGTTCGCCCTTTTTCAACGAGGGAGAAAGATGTAAAATACAACGGGAGCGAAAAATTCATTCCTTAAGTATACAGTATTTCAGTTCTTGGTCTAGCCCACAGGCACTTGTTTCGAAAATAATTTTTTAACCCACAGTATAATAATAACATTGTTATTATTATACTATGGGTTAAAAATTTATTTCCGAAACAAGTTCCTGTGGTCTAGCCTCAGGCATCTGTTGTGTGGAGAACCCGCCTCCCCCCTTGATAAAAAGAGTGATACCGGTATTTCAAAAATATTAGATTTCCTTCAAATTACTTCCTGTGCATATAGTGCATTTTCTTAAGCAATGAATCTTATAACTGCAACCACAAATTAAGTAACGCGCATTTAAATTAAAGGGGAGGTGGTATCCTCACTTCAAATGCCTGTTTGTCTATATGGGCGGCACTGATCGGAAGCAAGATTTGAAAGTTTACATCCTTGAGTGCCGCTTCTTTACCTTTTATCCAAAGTAGACTTAATGAACGTTACATATAGGAATGAACTTTCTCCGTTACATAGGAATGAACTTTCTCCGTTACATACAAGGGTCGTTCAATAAATAATGCAACATGATTTCCAAAAGTAGGAAAAGTACGTAATACATATCAATCCCTCAAGGCATTTCCTGTAACCCTTTACGCGTGTCTTAGGTCTTTGTATCCACGAAACAAAATTCCTCTGCAAACTCATCTTTAGGGATGTCCCAAAGAGACTGTTGGATATCATTTCCCATGAAATATCTGACATTGTACAATCTTACTTTGCTTGTTTTCATGTGTTTTGAGAATGAAAAGACTTTCTTTTCTTCAAAATCTTATTTATTACCTTAAGCGTATGTGCAGCTGCGTTGTCAGGCACAAGAAAAATATGCTGGTCACCGAATTTTGGACTTCCTTTGCAGGAAATCTGTTGAACTTTCTTTTGTGCAATTTGAAGATAAAACTTACCATTGCTAGTCCTTCATTTGGATGTATGTACATGTTTTAATGGACCTCTTTAAATACACGAATACTAATAAAACATTTTTTTGGGCAATTGCTTCTCTTTATCATAATTAAATGACAACCTTTTTTCTTTCATTCCACATTTTTTTTTATCATTAATCTTATTTTACGGCTATAAAAAGTGCACCCCTGTTTCGTCATACATTAAGCAAGTTTATCAATTCTTCAAATTGCTTAAACTTTTGTTTTTAAATAAACAGTTGGCACATTTAACGAATGTTCTCTCTTGGACATTTGTGAGAAAATAGAGCACTTATTTGATTGAAAAAGTGTTATATGTTTTTCCTTTCTCAGAATTCTACAAAATGCTGTGACGATTAAATGTATCTTAACAATGTCTTTTCATGTATAAATATAGCATTTTCAAATTTCATGTGGCACATGAAGTCGATAATTTTTGGTGTCCCCACAAATTTCAGTTGACCACATTGACTGTTATATTTGAACTCTCGTTTATTTCTTCTGAATTTTTGAATCTGTCTAAAAGTATACAGCGTTAAAGTTAATTTTATCTACTTATAAAAATCATATCTTAAATATGAGGTTTGCGGCGATTCGTGTATAAAGCGCAATTTTCAAACACGCTCTTATTTTCATCTTCTTGGCAGAGATCATTTATAAACAGTTTTCATCTCAGTGTAGTGAGCATACTTACTTTAAAAATGAATTTCTTTGCGAAGACAATATGAAAATTCGTGGAATTTTCTGTGCTTAGGAGATCTTTGATAGAACTTTTCAAATATGAAAAAATAAAATCAAATGCCTCAACATTTATTATGATATACTGTGTTCAATCTAATTAAAATTAGATCCTTTACACTCCTTGTATTTTGTTATGACATAATCGTATAGGATCTAATTTTAATTAGATTGTACTGTGTTTTACATTACTTACTGAACGACCCTCGTAGGAAAGAACTTCTCCAAAGAAGAGCATCTCTGAAGCAAAATTTTGAGTACGTCTATTTAGAAATAATACATGGCCATATAAATGAGTGAAAATTTAATTTTTCCTCTTTAAATTTCTTTGATTTTTTTTTCTAATATACTGCAGTGTCATTTGGTTCTCACTTTTTTTTTATGGTAAAATAAAAAATATGTTAATTTTTACTTGTATGCATTACGATAATGCAAAATAAAAAAATTACGACCTTTATATATGTTTTGAAATCATAGTACTACGAGGTTAGAAATTTTTATTTTAATGATTTGATAAATTTTTCTTAATAAGTGTATCATTTTTGTTCATCTTTTTAAGACAAGAAAATTAGAGCAATTTTGCGTTATTTTGTGACAAAAACATTGAAATTGGGCAAAAACAGACCTCACAATATACCGGTAATAGTTTTATAAATTTGGTGTTTTGTTTGTGTTTCATTTGTTTGTTGTTTAACGTTCCTCTCAAGAATTTTTCACTCATATGGAGATGCCACCACTTGCCTTTGAAGAGTTGCAAATTTTGTCCTATACTCGGCACTTACGGTCATCGATGCAACTGTACATTCTTTATTACGTAATGTATAAAGTATAAAAACAAACTTAATGAATATCTTTTTAATTCAAAACAAAATTATCTTACAAAATAAATAAATATGAAATAAATAGATAATACACACAGTGGAATGTGAAAAGCTTAGGAATGCACAGAGTAAACCGCAATGCAAGAAAATGAAGGAAAAAAGTCTTAGTGAAGACAGTGTTTATGTTTAGTACATCAAAATCCTCTGGAATGTATAAAACATTTGGTACTGACATATAAAGGGATTTTCATTCATGGGAATGTTACAATATGTTCAAAATCCAAAAGATCAGACTGAATAATTAAGAGAAATATTATTTTCATGTAAACTCTACTAGTACCTGACTATTCATACTAATACCAGTATCTGAATTCACTGACTAGAAAATTAATAAAATGTTGTTTTACTTGTAAACCATTTTACATCAAATTCAATAATACATTACTACAACTTAAAAAATGTTTAAAAAAACACATAACAGTATCAAATACTGAGAATATTATGCATGATGAAAATTATCCATGTCTATCAGAAACAAGGAAGTGAAAACAACAAATTCATATTGCACACAATTAAAATAAGAGGCCAAAAAGCCTTAAAGCTCAGCTGAGCTAACTGACAAATGGATTTCATAAGCAAACTTTTCATCAAGTGTGAAAAGTTGATGAATACTTAAAAAACAAGACTGTCCCACATAGAAAACTTGATTTGAACAAAGGTAAAAATACTCACCACCAACTGTAACTTCCCTAAAATAATTTCTGATTATCAGTAAAATATTCTTATGAAGTGAAAAATGTGAAAAATTGACAGATCCATGAAAAAAAACCCACTCTGCTCAAGAAATCTTGTAGTAGTTTTCAATTCAGATAAATAAAACACACATTAAAGACTAGATTTAGCAGTAGAGCATACTTGAACAAATTATAAATATATTGCACAAAAAACCTAATAAACAACAACCTATATAATACATATTACAAAAGAAAATAATCTGAGTATCAAATTATCACAATATGTATGCCGCATATCACTTAAATAAAACAATGTAGTCTAAAGTATTGTAAATATACTGCTCTAATTTAGAAAAAAATCTTTTTATAAACATGTAACACTATAATGAATAGGAATAAAAAGAAGTCTATTCTCAATGAGGAATGTGTGAATTTATAATTTAAAAGATACTTTTATTAATATAAACTCAAATATATATAAACTAAATTCAAATAAAATACCTGACCATCTATGAAAGGAGACAAATACATTTTTCGACCCCCCCCCCCCTCAAATTTCAGTTCTTAAATACTGAAAATAGTGCAAGAGCACAAGACCAAAATACTCACTAAGTAATATCTACAAAATTGATAGAGAAAACCTGCTTCATGTAGTTTAAAAAAGAGCATACCGTATATCCTTTTTTTCGCTGGTTGGAAATTTTGCGAAAAAGGGGTAAATTAGTACAGTTTATATTTTGCTTAAGTTATTTTTTACGATTGAAGATTTTTTTTGTTTAAAGTGGTAATGTTTTTATGTCGCATTATAGCTGACATAATTTCTAGGTGTTTTATATTTTGCGAATTAAAAATGATCGCAAAAAAATGCGAAAATAGATCATCGCGAAAAAAACGGATATACGGTATAACGTTCTCTTATCATTTGCATTTCATTTCATTTTCATTTGCAAGGTCATTTCGTATATGAACTCCCATAAGACACAGATACCTATTTGTGTAACAGTATCCCCTTTCTTTATTGCACATAACCATTTAATATATATAATATATAACCATATAAGGCGATATATATTCTAAATCATTGGTACCCTAAGGTCTTTGGTATCAGTAAATTATTGAACATATATATCAGTAAACAACATTGGTAAAAGTTCATTTAAATAGCATCATGTCTTCAAAAATTGTTGACATTTAATAATATCCGGTAGTCATATAAGGAAACCATAAATGTCAACCTATTAATTTCAATATTCTCCATAAAAATTGTACAATCATTTTATTGCTTACCTACATAAAACTAAGATGTGAAATTGTGCAACAAAAGAGGTCTATGATTAATTTCCTTACATATGAATGCAGTATAAAGTAAAAATCAAAAAATAAATAAACAAACAAATAAAAAGGAAAACACAGTAAAAATCCTAAATGTGGCCCGAAACTTAAAGCCCAGAATATCAACCTTTTCAATTCACAAACATATTGTAAAAAGTTTTACAACTTGTTGCCCTGTCGTTCTTAATAGTATTTTAACTATTTTTGTATTTCTGTGTACAATTCGCACCCAATGGATGTTTTGTTGTTTTTTATTAGATTAAAAAACATTTTCCGTACATTTATTTTTTTCTAATTGGACTTTTTATTGTGGATTTAATGATGAATTTGCTTTATAATGTTCATTTAATACATGTAAAATCGCTGTAGTGCAGTATAGTGCAGCTTCCACTCCTTCAATCAAATCCTTTAGAAAATTAGGGTTCCAAACCCATTATTCAAACAATCCTGTAAATGTTTTCAACCGATGATTTTTTTGGTGGTAATTTTGATCGAAATTTGTCTTGTGGTTCTGAAGCAGTTAAAAAGTATCATAATCAAATGATATCACTTGTCAATGACTCTTAAAAAAATCTAACGCGAAAATCTGTAGGGCCAATAACTATAAATACATTTATTGACAAAATGCTTCGTGATTGAAAAATTGATTCAGATTCCCTTGTCGCTATCTATGCTCCAGCTGCGTCGTCGGTAGTGCAGTATACTGCTGCTCCTGCTCCTCTGTCTATGTCGAGTCGGAGTCCTGGAGCGATGGTAGTGGTAGAAGGAATCGTCACTGTCAGAGCTGGGACTGGGGGGTGTGGGCCGATAGTACGGCACTGGCCGCTTCCTGGCACTGTTATAAAGGTACATGTATAATGTTTTGCAATTTAAGAAATTAAAAACTATATATAACAATCTATAATCTTAAATTTCTTAAATTGCAATTTAACATATATTGTTATAACAACGAATATTCGTCTGTATATAAATCTAGGTGATAGCATCCATACTTGCGACACCAGATATTCGATGTTTGCTTGCATTTTGTGGAATTTAGTATCCTATCGGTATAAAAAGTGCAAATTATCTTAAAACATTGTTTAAAGAGAGTAGAAGCAAGTTAAACCTAAAATTATTGAGCACAAAAAGTGATGTACAGTAAAACTCGTTTAGTACGAACACGGATATAGCGAATTCACGGATATAGCGAAGTTTTTCTGGGTCCCCGGCTAAATTCTTAACAAATCTTTGAAACATTTTACGGATATAACGAACTCTGATATAACGAATTTACGGATACAGCGAACTGATTTTGAGTCCCGTTGAGGTTAAGTGTAATGAAATTTACATCTTTTATAATGAACTTTCAAAGATCTCAAAATTTGATGAATTGAACTGACTTTGTTTTCTTTTAGCATTTGTTTATAACATTCAATTCATAATAAACCTTAGTTATATCGAAGGTATATTTTGTAATATTTGCTTTCCTTAAATATTTTGTAATAATACTTGAAGGAAAACATGCATATTGCGAATTCGCTATATATGGTTATACGAATTCGTTATACGGATATAACGAATTACGGATATAGCGAATTTAATTCACAGGTCCTCAGGACTTCGCTATAACCGAGTTTTACTGGTACTCTGAAATTGATGAAAGAAATACGCACGCTAACTCTCGATTCCCGCCTTCATTTTTAAACCATTTAATTCAATATAAATAGCAATTTTACCATAAAATCTTTGTTTAAAACAAAGAACAGTTCAATGGTAATTGATAAATTGTCTTAATACCACCGCTAAACAGTAAATTATCCATAATTCCAGCTCTTGAAAAAAAAGGGGTAGACGATATTTTTCATTGAAATCGGAGTTTCAAGCATCACCATATTTTGAAATAGTCTTGGATATGATTAAATGTTCCTTATATCCTTTTTTATGTTTTAGGCAAATAAATAAAACTTAAATATTTCAATAAAATATAATGTTTCACATGTATATCGCTTTGAAATTGATGAAAAATAAGCATTTTTATCGTTTTTTTTGGTCAATAAACATATGTCCCCCCCCGTGTCACACAAAAAAGCTTTGGTATGAATTTGTGAAATAACATTTTATATTACCTGTAAAAAGGAATTTTTGTGACACGGGGGGGAAAGATGTTTGAAAAATATTTTCCGTTTTTCGTTGATTTCTATAGTGAAAAACACAAGTTTTACCAAAATTTTATAGTTATCTCTCTTTTTTTCCCAAAATAAGTAATGTTTTATGAAAATCCATATAATTATCTATAAAAAATATCAAAAATTCATCGAATATGTTAACTTTGGAAAACTACTTGGAGGTAGGCGGGAGAACAATACTATCTTTCGCAGTTCTTTTCATGAAAAGATGACAGCCACATTAGATATTAAACGACAGACTTCCAATTGTCTTGTTCATATTATTAACTCCTACAAATGCCTTATGTCCTAAAAGTGTTTGTTTTTAAGTTTTATTAACCCTACAAATGCCCAAAGTCCCAGGTTTTCGTGGCCGGGTCATATTTACTCCTATAAATGACGTAAGTTCTAAAGGTTTTCTTGACTGCTTCATATTAACTTCTACAAATGCCTTAAGTCCTTTGTAGAAGTTTTTGTACATTTTTCGTGGCTGGACCGTACTTAATTCTACTTTCTTATCCTGCGCTTTTGCAGGTGATCAGGGGAAATTTTCCATGGTAGATCATGACAACTTCTACTTTATTACTCTGCGTGTGTCAAGTGACTAGGAAAACCTTTCCTGACTAGATCATAAAAACTGCTACCTCATAATCCTGTATTTTTCTAAGTGATCTGGATAACCTTTTCTGGCTAGATCCTAATAATCTCCACCTTGTTATTAGATGTGTTTGTCTAGGTGACTCTGGGAACCTTTCTTGGCTACGTTAAATAACTTTGATAAATCTGATGAATTAGCAATATAACTTTCAGCTAGTTTTGTATTTACTTAAACTCTTTTTTGAATTGTTATTCAAACATATATTTGTCACGTAACTCTGTTTCCGCCTAAAAAGTTTCGCCAAATTTATATTGTCATACCCTTGAGCAGGCAAAGTGCCACCCGCTAAAGAAACCCTCCATACGGTAATTCTTACGTAGTAACAGAGCTGTAGCTCTCTGCTTGGGAAAATTCAGACAGATAAATCAGAGAGCTACAAATCCAAGCGTCGTAAAAACCTTCAATTTACGCTGCCGCTTTTTTGTCGCTCATTTCAGGCATTATTTTTTGTATTGCATGCTTTTATCCACTTTAAAAATGGTATCCGATAATTATATAACTATACATTTAACTTCTATTCCTGATAACTCATTTACCTTTCAATTGTTCCAAAAGGTCGTTTAATTTGTGGTTACGGACGGTAAAATGGGATTTTTTTAAACTGACATTTCAAAACCATACAGAAGTGTTTGAAAGGTAAATAAGGTATCAATAATTGGAGTAAAACATATGGTCAATTATCGGATACCACTCTAAAAGATAAGGAAAGCATAAACTACAAGAATCAAAGTACTCAGAAGTAAAGAGAGCCGGGCTCATTTACAGAGTAGAATGGATTTCTTACATGAATCACGTTTATATTCTGATGAAAAAATTATTTTAAAACTATCAATATAAATGGTAAGACACTGACAGTGAGTTTTTCAATCCTAATACTACGGTCCGATTTTTAATCTGGTACCGCAGCTGAATGTAAACAAACAGGCCAGTCTGGTTCCCTCTCCTGCTTTACCTCGTATGTGTAGAGAACTACGGTAACACTGATTATCAAAAATCCTTACGCTAATGAACTATGTTCTTTGACTTATGAAGTTTTCAAAGTCATTACTACTAATGTTTATTTTATATAGATAACACTTCGTTTTATTTTTGTTGCTTTATTTAGCGTTTTTATTTTCTCAAAAGCGGTTGAGAGTAAGAACTATATTTTTGCACGTAACTTTAAAATCGCGACTATGGGGTCAACATCCCGCCTTGAACAGGATCGCATAAGCCGGCAATTGCTCTTTGAGCAATAAGCCCGGCTAAAAATTATCTGAAGTGAGCAACAAAAAAGCGGTAGCTTAAATCGAAGGTTTTTACAATGCTTGGATCTGTAGCTTTCTGCTTTATCTGTCCGAATTTTCTCAAGCAGAGAGCTACAGTGCTGCAGCTAATTCTTACCTTGTTATTCTGCCGCTGTGTAGGTGACTAGGGAATTTTTTTTTGGCTGGGATATATTAACTCCTACCTTGCAATCCTGCGTTTGTCTAGTAGACATGGAGAATCTTTCTTGGCAGGATCATATTAATCCCTACCTTGTAACCCCGCATTTGTCTAGGTGACTAGGGGAATCTTTCTTGGCAGGATCATTTTAATTCCTACCTTGTAACCCTTTATTTGTCTAGGTGACTAGGGGAACCTTTCTTGGCAGGATCATATTAATTCCTACCTAGTAACCCTGCATTTGTCTAGGTGACTAGGGGTATCTTTCTTTGCAGGATCCTTTTAACCCTGCATTTGTCTGTGTGACTAGGGGAACCTTCGTAGATGAATCATATTGATTCCTACCTTGAAACCCTGCATTTGTCTAGGTGAATAGAGAAACCTTTCTTAGTTGGATCATAATAATGCCTACTTTGTAATCCTTCGTTTGTCTAGGTGATTAGAGGAACCTTTTCTGGCTGGGTCATACTAACTCCTACTTTGTAATCCTGCATGTGTCTAGGTGACTAGCGGAACCTTTTCTGACTGGGTCATAATAATTCCTACCTTGTTATCCTGCGTTTGTCGGTGACTAGAGGAACCTTTTCTGGCTGGGTCATAATTCCTACCTTGTTATCCTGCGTTTGTCCAGGTGACTAGGGGAACCTAAATCTTTGCGCTGTCATGCTAATTCCTACCTTGTTATCCTGCGTTTGTCCAGGTGACTAGGGGAACCTTTCCTCCGTCGGATGGATGGACTTCGGGACTCCCTCCTCTGGGATGGACTCCTGGAAACACTCCTGCTGTAGCTTCTGGAGGGACTGTGTGACCAAGAGTAACTCCTATAAAGAATGGATTATTATGGCAGTGTTTGCATGAAAAAGTTAGTGTAATCTACTTAGGTTCTTTAGGTAAGACAACAACAAAAGACGTAAAGATTTGTTTCCAATCTGTCAAAGTGTTTCCGTTAACGCATATTTCTGTACACTCTGTGCATTAAAAATATACCTTTTACCCCCTAAAACATCACCCAAAGGATCACAACGACGCAGAAAAATACGATACAAATTTCAAAAATCCAGTTCTATATTGATGCCTTGATAGAACGATGACACAAAACTGCACACAACACTGGGAACAACTTATCAAATCGACCGAATTCCAGTACCATTAATTTAGATACAGTTTTCTTTTAAAAAAAAAAAATCTCCTCAAACAAATTAAATTTTGAGTTCTCAGCAATACAAACCTTCTTCTCTTTGACCTACTGCGTGACCTTGAGTGACTTCTTGACTTTGACCTATGTTGAGATGACCTCTTTCTGTCCGGTGTATATGTGGGTGATCTCCCTTGTAAGGGCGTCCTTTCTGGCGACTCAAATCTCGTAGAGCGGGAAGATTTACGTGAGACAGGGGAAGGGGTCTTGTACTTGATGGGCTTTTGTGACTTTTCAACAGACAAAGAATGTATCTTGTATTGCACCGGGACCGGGGATTTATCAATGTGCAATCTTTCTGGGGATCTGTAAAAGAAGTACCTACAGTATAAACGGTTCAACTGGGCCCGTTAGGAACAGTTTATTAATATCGGTTAATAAGATATATTTTACCTAGAGGGTGCATGCTCTTTGGAATTCGGAGAAGTTTTATTAACTGCAATTCCACCGATATTTGTGCTGTAAGATAATTTGTTAAAGGCAGAAAAGTAAGAAATACTATTAGATATTCTTTTCTCCATATCATCTATTTTCCCCCATCTTGTCAATTATGAATCTATGCATATAACAAAGTCTGTCAATAAAATGTGCAAGAATTTGTGTTATAAGCATAACATTCTTAGGTTTTTACCCAGTTACAAAGTTTATCTGTAAAATTACATTTGTATACCTATCTATGGCACGCCAAATTCACAAAAATGAGCTAAACATAATTTCACAGTTGATAAACTAAGTTTATCGACTGTAAACTATAGTTTACAAGCCGTTAACTAAAACAATTCGTTAACTATAGTTTTCATATGTAAAACTATATTTAACGGTCGTAAACTATAGTTTACGAATGATAATCTAAGTTTATCTGTCTGTAATAAAGCGTTAACAATAAATTTTGTTGATAAACATAGATTTACGTTTGTAAACTATAGTTTACAATCGTAAACTATAGTTAAGAGTTGTTAATCATAGTTTCATAAATCGTGAAACTATATTTATCAGATCGTTAACTATAGTTAACGGTTTGTAAACTATAGTTTACAAATCGTGAAACTGTATTTATCAGATAATCTATGTTTTGCAATCGCAAATGATTGTTTTCAGTGTTAAGTATAGTTTACGGATGTGAAACATATATTATCGCGTTAACTATGGTTTACGGATGTAAAATATAGATTAATGTTGTTAACTATAGTTTACAGTCCGTAAACTATAGTTTACAACCGATAAACCTAGTTTATCGACTGTGAAACTATGTTTAGCTCATTTTTGTGAATTTGGCGTGCCATACCTATCAGACAATGCAGTTTTGGGCTGACTAGGCAATAGGGAAGCTTTAGGAGACTTTTTCTTTAACTCCTCTTCAGTCGGGATCGTAATCTCCGGTTTCTTGCTCCTCTCAGTTTCATTGTTATTCCGTTCATCATCTGTTGAACTATAACGATAATGATAACAATACAATATTTCTATAGATAAACAGGATAAGTTTGTCAAACACTGATGCCCCCGTATGGCAGCTCATGGCAAAGGTTAAGGTATCTCAACTGCAAGTCAAACTCCAAGGTCAAAAGATGATAAATAATGGCAAACGTGCACTAAAATGTCCTAGACGTAACCATTCGAAACTTGTGGCCAAGGGTCAAAATTGTACATGTACCATGGGATGGGCTTGGCATATTATGTACATATTTCGATCGCATTTCTTGTGACAAAACCTTTCCTTTTTGAGCTTATGCCTATAACATTGGATTTATTTAACCGTAACCTTGAGCTGCGATATAGGGGTATCAGTATGTATTTCATAAAAGTGTTTTGTTATTAATGCAAAAATAAAGATTCATCCTTTGCATTAAGGATTGATTGATTGATTGTATGTTGTTTAACATCCCTTTTCACTCATATGGAGAGGCCACCACTTGCCGGTGGAGAGCTGCAAATTTTGTCCTATACTCGGCGCTCAAGGCCTTTGAGCAGTGAGGGATCTTTTTCGTGCTAGCATCTAATGCGACACGGGAAAGCGGTTTATACGGTCTTATCCGAAGGACCAGTCTCCATATACCACAGTGGAATTTGAACCCGCAACGTAAGGATCGACTCCTTACTTTGCGACTCTAGAGCAGACGCTCTAACCACTGCGCCACGCATGCTACTTGCATTAGGGAGAAGATAGGTAGTAGCAGGGTTTCATCCAAAGAATAAAGAATGGAGAAAATAATCAACATGCACCAACCTACACACACAAAGGAAACACATTATTCAAACTACAAACTAATTAAAATTCCGGGGGAGGAGGGGGTAATTATAAAGTTGATAAAGGTATCGGAGTTGTACTTCGAGTGGCGGAAGAGAAACGTGCATCATAATTATTGCTTCCATAATAGTTACAGCTAACAAACTCTTCAAACTTTATTCTATTTTATATTTATCAATTTAATTCTCTGTTTGAAAAAGGGCAGTGGGGTGGGTGTGGTAGGAGGTTTGGGTCCCAACTTCTTTCAAAACCAAATGTTATTCATACATTACCACAGTACCCTGATCTGACTATAATACTGTGACTGGGGTGGGGTGTAACAGCGGCCTTTTAAAGATTTTTTTCTTCAAAATTAAAAAGTAATTAATGTAAAAAAAAAATGCGGGGGAGCACCCTGTCCCTTTCCCTCCATTCCACCCCCAGATACTATGTGCCTGTAAAATGAAAACAAATAAGACATCATATATGTTATGGTATTTAATTATACTTTATTCCTATTTAGAAACGCACCGTATTGTATCACTGGGACAAAATTAAAACTTTTTGCATGATGCCAGATTGATTGGAATAGCATGGCAACTCTTTCAATCATATAGAAATAAGCCTGATTTAAATCTGGTCTATCTTATGACAAGAGGGAAAAAGAAAATAAATTTTTGCTAAATATATACGATTTTCCTGACTGATGGGATTTCGAACTGACAGCCTTTTAAAGATTGATTCCATGGAGAGTTTATTTATGCTTCAGAAATCAGGCGATGTCAAAAGTAATTGTAACCAAAGTTTACTCAGCAGTAATGTTTTCTTGCTTTAAATGCAAATAAATGTTCAAGATTGAAAACATGCATGCAATGATACCAGATTTCACCGTTTACTAAAATGTAGCCTAATGAATCTTTCATAATTCGAATTTATAATATGCATTACTAGTATTAATGGTGATCGGATGTATATGAGAGTGAAGTTTGGTATGATAGCTGTTGGCTAAGGTTGAAGCGTCGTCTCAAGCCACGGTCCGGAGTCCGCATTTGGCTCTCTCCAGAATGGAAGAGGGTCGTACAATTTGGCCATGGTTGCGACTTTGAGGTTGGAGTTTCTCAAATCCAAGTCAAACTCCAAGATTAAAAATTTATTTCCGAAACAAGTGCCTGTGTGTGGTCAAGGGGTGAAAAAAATTCCTTACCAAAAGACCTTGTTCTCATCAATATGAAAGTCCAAGCACTAGCCATAAAAACGTTATGGCCAAAGTTTCTTTTTTAAATGTGGATCAAACTGCAAAGTCAAGGGATCAAAAAGGTACTCAGGGGAAGTATTCTTATACACGAACTCATGTGAAATATTAAAGCCTTAGCACCAAGCATTCAAAAGTTATGAATGCCCTAGTACTAACTGTTCAAAAGTTATTTCCAAGGTAAAAGTTTTAAAAGTGGGTCTAACTTAAAGGTCAAGGTCGTGTAAAAATATTTATATCCATGGAAAGGTCTTATTAGAGATGTTTCTGAATATGAATTGAATCCGAATCTGAAAATGAATCTAAATCGGGGTGGATCTCGATCCCGATTTGAAAACTATAAGAAAAATATCAGCATAAAAATTTTTCTAAATTATACAATGAATAACGATAGTATAAGATATTTGATATTTTTCTGTGATTTACGAATTATTTTTCCATTGTATGATGACAGAGGAATTTACGGATTTTAATTTGAAAAAAAAGGTTTTGAGCCTTATCCCCCCTTCTGGATTTAACGAACAAATCAAATTATATCGTCTGAAAAGGAGAACAGATACACTTTCAACTCAATGAAAAATTAAACCTGCTCGTAAAGTATTATTATTATTTCATATTCAACTATTTACGTGATCGTTCCTCGAGAAAATCATATAAATGCTCTTTTTTCTTTAAATCTGTTTAAATATTCATATATGTGTCGCTTTATATTTTTATAGGTAATTGAAAATTATGTCGAATAAATAACTCGTTCAGTAACCATATGAACGCTGCATCCCATTTTTTTAAAAATGTTCTGCGATTTTCATTGTACATATGCTAGTATCTAAGAGTTATCAGTACAAACTTTTTCTTTCATTTCTCTGAAACTCCCTTTGATTGGTGAAGAATGTAGCTTATTAAATTTTGGAATCAAAACTTATCCCAATGATTTAAACCTGTATATTCTCCTGATTTCACCTTCTTACTATATTCAATACGAACCTCTCGAGAGACGAATTTCTAGTTACATGTACATGTAAGTGATCAATATTTTTAAATTTAATACAAAATTTATGTTTTATTTCGTAGGTATTGAATAAACATTTATTACTACAAGTAGTAAGTAATGTATACTCAATACGGGATGGGACGCAACTGAACCAAAGATAAAATACCTAATGAGCCAAAAAGGTCTTTAGACTTCATAAATGAGGACCATAACCATATTGATGATCTGGATATATTATGAAATACATGTTTATAATGGCAAAGTTAAGGGGGGGGTTGATACTGGACTCCACTTCCTCTCACCTAGTTATAGCTGGCCTCATGTAATACTAAAGATTTTGACGAATGAAATATGGACAATCATTCAGTAGCGGGTAGCGTGTCAAAGTATTCCAGATTTTTCGGAGTTATTTAATTAAAAATATTTCATCCAGGTTTTTTAAGATATTACAGGCACTTACTACAGTTTTGAAAAGAAAATTTAAGGGTTTTTTTTGTTTGTTTGTTTGTTTGTTTGTTTTTTTGCGTATACCCGAACTAGTCGTTTGATTAAAAAAAGTTATCAATACGTAACATGAAATATTTCATTCAGTCTGTTCTTTATTTCTATTATTTTTTATTTATTATTTATTTTGATTGGATAACTTGCTAAGCACCACAATGTGTTACACTGCATTGCAGCAGAGTGCAGTGTGGTGCAGTTATACTTACATTTCAATAAGCACAAATATCCTACTAGGAAATGCTTTAGAAACATTCCCTACCATCCCCCCTCCAAAGTTACCCTTTACATACAATTTTCTCTTGCGGCTGATTCTAAGTTGCAAAATTTGCATAATGTAAGTTTCTTACAAAGTTCGATAATCAACTTATGCCCCTTTGAACAACGTAGACAAAACGATTATGCAAATGTTCAGGCAAAACTAACGAATAACAGGCTTGTATACTATATAAGACTAGAGAGTCACTCACTTATTAGCAATGTTAAATCTGGTCTTACATGTATTGTGAGTTTCTCTCACTAAACAAGTACTGCTAACTGGCTAAGCAGTACAGAAAAGCGCCTTTGATTGTGCTACAGAGTAATTTGGCACTTTGATTGATTGAATTTTAAACTGTTCACTCATCTGTCAAACAGAAAAAGTAATATTTCTTTTAATGTTTTACATAATCAAAATAGATCAAGTATGTTTTAAGTAGACAGTATACGTTAAGCAATTACAATGAGATGCGTTGCAGTGCAATGCTATCTTTATTTTAGACTAAACTTAAAAAAAAAATCAATTTGAAAAAGTGTTTGTTTCAACCTTATCTTTAATTTTAAAAAAAATTAAAACAAAATCGGACTTATTATCCTTTGATTGACATTGCAATTTGTACAGTGCAATATAAGTGTAAGTAAATTTTTATTAAGATAAGAAGCATTAATATGCGTGCAAATAAAAATTAAATGACTCAACAGTCACATAGGTGTTTCATTTCTTCGGAATATTTTTTGCATACCCAAACTAGTCGCTCGATGAAAAAATTATCAATACGTAGGTTGGAAAAAGTCTTGACATACACATAAGTGCTGGAGAGTTAGAACAAAGTCGCATATTTTAAAATTACTTAAAAGTTAATAAAATATTTCATCCAGTTTGTTTTAAAAAAGATTCAAAGCACTAATTGAAAAGGAAATTTAAAGATTTTTTTTGCACATACCATAGTCGTTTGATAAAAAATTATCAATACGTAGCTTTATCGAAGGAGTCTTCCCTCATACATGTATGTGTTGGAGTGTTAATTGGGATTTGTATGAAAAAGAACAGTCACATTCTTATCAAAGTATATAAATATTTCATCCAGTTTTTTTCCAAAGATATTGAAGGCACTAACTGAAAAGAAAATTTAAGTTTTTTTTTTTTTTTGCTTATAGCCAAACTAGTCGTTAGATAAAAAAAATTATCAATGCGTAACATGA